TCTCAAGCCAGACATCAATGGGAACATCTACTATGTTACCTTTATTGATGACTTGACAGGCTTGACCTGCATAGGTGGTCTAAGGAACAAGACAGCAATGGATGTCCTTGGATGCTTCAAGAATTTCAAGAAGATCACAGAACTGGCTTTCAACAGGAAAGTGCAGTGTCTGAGGACAGATGGTGGTGGAGAGTATCTGGGAGGCATGAAGCCATACTTGCAACTACATGGGATAGTTCACCAGGTCACCACACCATACACACCTCAACTGAATGGCACAGCAGAAAGAGCAAACAGGACACTCAAGGAGATGTGCTCTTCCATGCTCATTGCTGCCAAGATGGATCACAAGTGGTGGTTCCATGCCATGCAATATGCTTGCACTCTCATCAACATGGGCAAGCAGTATCAAGGGAGATCTCTGGAGGAGATCATGTGAAAGCACAAGCCAGGATATGGTCAACTTCATCCCTTTGGAACAGAGTGCTGGATCAGGGTACCCAAGGAGGGCAGACTCAAGAATGATCTCACCACCAAGAAAGCAATCAAGGGCAAGCTGCTGCATCCAAACATCACTGGAGCAGGCTACCTTGTTGTCATACAAGAAGAAGGAAGAGATGTCACCCTTACCAGCAGGGATGTTGTGTTCAGGAGGCCAGAGGGAGCTAGTGAAGGGAACACTACTCCACTGGGAACACCACAACAACAAGGACATCTTCCTGATCAACAGTATAGAGGTACCAAGTCACCTAATACTGAGGATGCCTCTGAGGACCAGGAAGAACCTCAGAAGGAAGCATCACCACCAGTAGCCAATGGCCCACAAGATCAGCCATTGGACTATAGGGATCCTTCACCTCAAATAGAAGAATCAGAGGAAGAAGAAGACTCTGATGATGAGGATCCCATGCTACTCAAGCCCAGGGCACCTATCAGGAGAAGGTCACCCAGGCTGAACATCATGCAAGAGATGGCATTGGCTAGTGTCCACTCTGCAGAAACACAAGAAGACCCTCACTCATACAGGGCAGCCATGCAAGATCCAAGGTCTGACTTGTGGCAAGAGGCCATCAACAAGGAACTCAAGTCAGTCAAGGATACTGGAACTTGGCAAGAGGTCAAGGTTCCAGAGGGAGCTAGTTTGGTAGACTCCAAATGGGTCTTCAAGACAAAGCTCAATGAAAGAGGAGAAGTCATCAAGTACAAGGCCAGGATAGTGGCCAGAGGCTTCACTCAGGAGTATGGGGTCAACTACTTTGACACATACAGCCCTGTGGCCAGACTCACCTCACTCAGGATACTGCTCACCATTGTGGCAGCTCAAGACTTGGAGCTCTACCAGATGGACGCAGACACTGCCTTTCTCAATGGTACATTGGAGGAAGACATCTACATGGACTTTCCAGATGGATACCAGAGACAGGACAAGAAGTCTACAGGACTCAAGCTTGTTAGATCACTCTATGGTCTCAAGCAATCACCCAGGGTATGGTGGCAACTCATCAGCACATACCTGGAAGAGTTGGGTTTCACCAGGCTATCAGCAGACTGGGGACTCTACTATCACAAGAAGAAACAGGCATATCTACTACTTGGGGACTCTACTATCACAAGAAGAAACAGGCATATCTACTACTCTATGTGGATGATGTTCTGATTGCTGCTCAGGAGATGAGCACCATCAATGGCATCAGGGATGCATTGAAGGACAAGTGGAAATGGTCAGATATAGGAACAGCTACCTATATCCTTGGACTCAAGCTGGAGAGACACAGACCCAGCAGGACCATCTCACTCAGCCAGGAAGGCTATATACAGAGGGTGCTGAACAGGTTTGGCATGCAGGATGCCAAGACAGTCATCACACCACTCTATGATGCCATGATGAAGAGGCAAGAAGATACCATCAAGGAAGACAAGCAGAGGAAGACACTCTACCAACAGATAGTTGGATCCTTGATGTGGAGTGCCATGTCAGCAAGACCAGACCTAGTCTTTGCTGTTGGCTACCTCAGCAGGTTCAGCAGCAACCCATCTGAACAGCACCTCAAGGCAACCAAGAGAACTTTGGCATACTTGAAGGGCACCATTGACAAGGTCCTCACCCTTGGTCAACTGGACAACAACACAGGAGGCAATCAACACAGCCTCATTGGATACTGTGATGCAGACTATGCAGGAGACATGGAGACAAGGAGAAGCACTACAGGATACTGCTTCAAGCTACTAGGATCAGCAGTCTCATGGACCTCTATCAGGCAAAGCACAGTAGCAACATCTACCTGTGAAGCAGAGTATATGGCTTTGGCAGAGGCTGCCAAGGAAGCCATCTGGCTCAACAGGATGCTACAAGAGTTGGGCTTCATCAACAAGGACAAACCAACTCAGCTCTACTGTGACAATCAAGGAGCTCTAGCATTGGCAGGCAATCCAGCTCATCACAAATCACAAGAGGTCAAAGCATATTGACATCAGGTATCATTACATCAGGGAGATGGTGGACAATGGGCACACCACCATTCACCATGTTGGAACCCAGGATCAGGCAGCAGACATGCTTACCAAACCACTGAAGGATATCAAACACAAGCACAACTGCCAGCTCATTCATCTAGAGTGATGGAATGAGAGGATCCATGATCAGCATGCGATCTTAGGAGGCAAAGGATCACCCTCAGCAAGGATTGGTGCATACCATCTTGGAAGTCAAAAAGTTACTCCATCCTTTTCAGGATGCGGCTCACTCCAAGATGTGGACTTGGTTTCAGGACTTGGATACAATACGATCTATCAAGAAAAGACAAAACACCAAAAACAGTCTCAGGTCAAAGGTACAGGCTTTGAGCTTGAGCTTGAGAGGGAGTGTTGAAGATTGGCAGGGTATGACATCACAGGTGAGGACATTGTCAATGGTGCAATCTCAATCACAAAGCTTCATTTTGTAGAATGTACATTGTACATTGTACTTTGTACGTTTCACAGGGAATCCTGTAGAATGTACAGGTTTCAAGGGGTCATGGAGCCATGGAGGCTACCTTCAGAATAGTATATATAGGAGGCCAGTTTGGCCTCATTCCCCTTTTCCCCTCCCATGTACTACTTTACTTTTATGCAAGCAACATTGATTCATCTTCACAACAAGACAAGATCAGCACTGGTAACACACCATTACTATTGCCTAGGTACATCAAGTAACCAACCTTGGTGGATCTAGTTGTTACTTCACAACAGGAAACAGATACTCTGTCTCTGCTAGCATTGTCTTTTGTGCTGAGTTGAGAAGAGATGTGTGCTGATGTAAAGCATCAGGGGAACAACTTGTACTTTCCACACGATTTCACATTATGTGCTGTGTGCATTGTACTTGCACATTCCATACTTTGTACATTGCAAATTGTACATTGTACTTTGTACATTGTATAATGCACCATCACCTCTTGTTTTTGTACTCCTAGTCTACTCATGAGTATATGTAGGAGGTAGGAGGAAGAGGATCGGGGTACAACACTCTAGCTCTTTCCTCTTCACTCATCTTAGTACCTAGTCACAAGACCCTGCCTTAGTGTCATCCTACACAGCAAAGTCACCTTCACACACAACAACCTTTGTCAATCCCTTCAAGGCTTATCTACCCTTGTTGCTTCTTCCACTGAGTGTTACAGAGAGTAAAATAAATGTTTGTTGAAGGAGAAGTGTTGAGATAACTGCAAGAACCGGATGAATTAGTTGTGAGAAACCTTAACTTTCCCTCAAAAGACAGCTTGGTTCATCACACTTGGGGGCGCTTCCCGGATAACTCGCCTACACCTCCAACAAGAACAACACATTACTACTCCCCTCATCCAGTCCACACACCTCTTCTCCATTCACGACACACCAATCAAACCACTGGACGCAGTGTTAAGTATTTGATATACTTGCAACAGCTTGTTTCTGGCTTCAGATAGCTGTCAAGATCTAGATCACCTGCAACCTTTGACCTAAAGAGAGCTGGTCAATTGCAGTCCCACCCAAACTCAGAGCGGCTTTGGAAGAAATGTTGCAACAATTAGACCACAGGTCCCAAATCTCTTGTTTCAACTCAGCAAACAAGCAGCATTCCAACATCCCAGAGAGGGTCATCAACTAAACTATAAATCTTAGATCTCTTGTTTCAACTCAATAAACAAGCAGCATACACAATGGCACCAGAGTCTCCAGACCCTCTAGCCATTGGCTCTGCAGACAGTTCTGAATCTCAGGATCAGACTCAACAGCACACAACTCAGGCAACTAAACAGTTCCCTACTAGGCATCAACCTTACAGGAATCCACCTGTCCCACCTATCCTTTCATTGGATACCCATCTAGGTGGAACCCAATCTGTTCCAACTGCCCCACCTTTGAATGTTCAACCTACCATTCCACCAGCCCTATCTACTCCCGCTGCAGTCCTTGATGCTGCACTGAGTCAGGTCATGCGGCGACTTGCTGTGCTACAAAACACAATCAATACTGTGCAACAGGAAAACCTCGATCTCAGGGAGGACTTAGCTCGGCGCAGCACTATCTTGTTGAAGATTGGAATGCTATGACATCATAGGTGATGCTTAAAGGTGCAATCTCAAATACAAAAGGTCAACATGTGACCAAGATCACATGTTGTGACCGAAGACGCGCAGTTGTGACTGGAGTCACATATCAGTGATGTCATTGGTGACTGGAATCACAAGTACGTGACTGGAAATGTAATATGCGTCTGGACACGCAATTGCGTGACTGTTCCAGTCGCAAGTTCACTAAGGAACATGCTCATCAGAATAGTATATATAGGAGGCCAGTTTGGCCTCATTCCCTTTTTCCCTCTCATGTACTACTTTGGTTTTATGCAAGCAACATTGATTCATCTTCACAACAAGACAAGATCAGCACTGGTAACACACCATTACTATTGCCTAGGTACATCAAGTAACCAACCTTGGTGAATCTAGTTGTTACTTCACAACATAGAGCTGACAACCTTACACCTTTCCAGTTGAGTCAAATGCCTCGACTCTCCAATGATTCCTGATGATACCCTTTTTAACACCTTTTTTCTTCATAGCGAATGAGATTGCAGCTGGAGTACAGCCAATAAATGCAGCTATATCCATAAAGGTTTGCATCACCAATGCATTAACAAGATTGCCATCTGTGTCCAGGAATTTATCCCCATTCAGCCGTTTCAGAATGCCTCCCTTTGCATTGTAGGTAGACTTTCTAGCCAATGGCACAACGTTTCTTTCTCCTTTGTCGATTGAACATCTTGTGTCCAACGATTGCAAGCTGAAGTCCTGAGCATTGGGATTATTTGGTTCCAGATGATCAGAAGGAGATGTTGCCACAATTCTGAGTTCAGAAGAAACCTCCAGACCCATATCGTGTAATGCAATACCCCAATCAGAGGTTTGTACTGACAAACCTTCATCATGGTTCAGCTGCAAGTGCTGGGACCAGTCCAGATTCGATATGAGTGCAATCGATCCAGTTTGTGTATCAGCAATATCGTCTGATAAGTAGTCTCGTTCAAGGATCGAATAGTGGGTCCTCTCAGAGATGTCATTCTGATTTGGCACTATTGAACATTTGTCTCCAGCTGTTCCAGCCAGATTGTATTCCTCCACTATCCATCTCCCCATCAGGATGCGCTTTTGTCCAGCTGTCTTTTTCATGGCATATCTGACTCCACCTTCAGAACACCCAACAAATTTAGCTGCATCTGCAATGGATTGCATGACAACTTGGTCAGCAGGATTGCCATCACTGTCCCAAAACTGAGTCCCATCTAGTTGTCTCAGACTGCATCTTCTGGCAGTTTGATGGAACTTCAAGTGCCAGTCGCGTATCTTTTGCTTGGTATGTGTCAAGTGTGGCTGACGCGTATTCTGACGGGCTCTGTTCCTTCTGCGAACCTGATCAGTCATGTAAGAAGACTGGAAGCTGTTGTCAAAGCCAGCAGTAGTGCAGGGTTCCAAGTAGTCAGAAGTAATTGGTTCCATGAGTGTGAGGTCATGGGGACTTTGCAGTTCCTCAGGTCTGAATATCCCTGTCGACTCATCATTCATGCGCTGATTTTCCTGTACCAGTTGATACCATTCTGGCATGTCTGGTTCTTGATGGTAGGCCTCTATGGTGTCAGCATATCCATCTGATCCACAGGGCAGTGGTTGTAAGTGGAAGGGCATCTTTCAGATTGAGTATGATGGTGATGTTTGAGCTATTTAGCAATGACAAAAGTCCTGTATTTATCTGTTTCCACTATCTGTCCTCCTGAATCCATTCTCCCCCACACATGTGCACAAACATTCTTGCATCTATCCAAATGCTAGACACAATATTACTCCTGGCCTCAGCCTGTGGTCACCCCAATAATTATAGGGATGAACATCCTTTGTATGCTTCTTGTCACCCCCTGTGCCTCCCCAGGCAGAGCCAAAGTGTCACAAAGACAGGTTCCTTTGTACGCTTCTTGCAAACCATCCCAGAGCAAGGTCAGGTGCAGGGCTTCTTGCAATTGAATGAGCTGTGCAAGATGCTTAGTAGCAATCAGACTGGGGTTTCACGCGCATCATGAGCTGATCATTGCGTGTTGTGCTGTTGCAGCAGAAATGTTATCTCTGGTGAACAGCTAGCCATATCGTTCCTATGATAAATTGTGGCTCATCTTGTTGTGCAACCACAACTAGATCCACCAAGGTTGGTTACTTGATGTACCTAGGCAATAGTAATGGTGTGTTACCAGTGCTGATCTTGTCTTGTTGTGAAGATGAATCAATGTTGCTTGCATAAAACTAAAGTAGTACATGAGAGGGAAAAGAGAAATCAGACCCTAATGGCCTGCTATATATACTTTTCTGGGAAGGGGCAAATGGTGGCGAAATGTAACAGGAGCATCTAGTTACCACGATCACGATTATCAACAGATATCGATATCACCACCAGTCTGTCCGGAGAGACCGACTCGCTCAAATAGGAAGGGTCAAGGTGCAGCAACTGTTACGAGTCGCGTGACTATGCATTGGTTTGCCACCTACACCCCCTACATCAACAGATATCGACATACTTTACAGTACAGTTATTGTTTCTTCGACACCTATTATAAGGCTTGCCAGCAAGCCTGAATAGCAATACACAGGACTAGAAGGTACGTGTTACAGGATCATCACATGAGTCGACTACCGGCATACGGGCTTGTTCTACGGACATCAGCATACACCTAAGTCCGGCTTGACGCGGCGAACCCGATTCCCGCGCAGCAGATTCGGTCGCCCTTACCATTCACCTTCACCATTCACCGAAACAACAATACCTTCCCGGTACATATCACAAACAGGTACAGGGACCTTGAGGTACACAACAACCTTACTCAGGACCTCGACAACCTTACTCGACGTACCTAGGGACAAATGCAAACTCAAACTCGCCTCCTCTACCGAATCCGGTTGCTCTCGACAGGATTCGTCCGTTTGCCATCTCGTTCTCCCAGTTTCGCCATCTCTCGCCATTCTTTTCTCTTAGGTCTTTTCAGTGTTCGCCAGCCTCGTCTCCATACTCGTCTCCGTATAAATAGCTAGAGGAACTTGACCAAATTTGATAGAGGACGCTCTGTAATAGTTAGAGGTCAAGTTCCAATATCACATTCAACACACGCCTATCTGACTTGTTACAACATCTTCAAGACATGTTGCGGAGAGGTTACAACTCAAGGACGTGGCTAAGTAGATACACTTCATCGTTTTACCTTAGACCGAATCCGGTACCTCACACCGAGTGATCACCTTCCTTATCCATATATCTCTGGATTCGTATCCTGCACCCGAACCCGCTTCATCTAAGCGAACTTGCAACATTCTCCCGACTACCTGCGATCTACCTTAAGCACTCTTCACCTTACAACTTAGGATCAATTACCGATTAGCGACCTCCGCCGTAACAGTACGGGTAGGTCAATGACTGTAATAATGGATGTCTAACTACTACAAGGTGCTAGTTTGACATCTTCAAACACACCTCCTAATAAGTCTCCGCAAGGGTCCCCAAGAGGGTCTCCAAGAGAGTCTCCAAACAGACCTTTGTACGAGGTGAAAACCTGCTTTGCGCATTGCAGGGGCGAACCCCGTCTTCAGGAACAAACATTGTTGATGATGCCAAACAACAACTCCTGAGTTGTCAGTAAGATGGGGTAAGGGTGCTAAGCCTTGAAGTGGTAAGGATGTCCAGGTAGGCAAATGCTGTTCCCGGTAGACTGTATGAGGCGGAAGGTAGGTAGGTAGCTGAAGCCGTGTAGAAGTCACGTGATATGAGGTCACGTGACGATCAACAGAAGGAAGGTATTTCTCTGCTCAGACAAAAATTGTTGTAGGTTGTCTAGACTCACAACTCCTCGGGGTGGTAAGCTAGCAACGGCTGTACTCTGACACCGTTCTACTTAACCTTGTCTGGGAGCCAGCTATAAGTCCCATGTCAAGGTGAGTACTGGGGCGAATGTGAATCGCAAAAGCGGCAAATCAAAAGGGGCGAAGGTGGATATACATCAAAGGCGTAAGGTGAAATGTAAAGCTATGAAAATCGTTAGAACTATGCTGATCTCTCTCTCTACTACTGAACTACTACAACGGTCAAAGGTTGATGGAAAAGAGGGAAATTGACTGACGGGGTGGGGGTTTATATACATGTCTAGCGTACACATATGCCAGTGCGATTGAGCAAAATACTGGCGTGCGTTGTAGGCGCGCGCGCTGCCTACTAGATATCTAGATCTCCCTCCACACACACACAAGTATCATTACCACACCTTGTATGATCAAATCATCATCATCCTAGTCATTGAGCCTGTGCTTGCCGCCTCGGCGTCTTCTGCTTCTCCTCTGCCCGTACACCTGTCTCCCGTCTCCCGTCGATAGATGAAACCTTCTAGATCCACCATCAGCTCCCGTCTAGTAATCCATCATGACCATCACGGGTAAGGGCGAGGTTGTTGAGAGCGAACCGCAGATGTAGGAGATAGGCGACCGTTGGGACCGATAAATCCTGTCACCACAGCGTTTGGAAGACGCGCATGAAGGAGGCAAGCACAGGCTCAATGACTAGAATGGTGATGTGGTGATACAAGGTTTGGTGATGATACATGTGTATGTGGAGGGAGATCTAGATGTCTAGTAGGCAGCACGTGAGCCTACAGCATATATAAGGCACAACAGCCGACCTGCCGGGTCTTGAGGTAATAAGGTCGCGGGACTAGGGAAAGGTAACGGTAGGCATAGTAATGTAATAACGGATGTCTAACTACTACAGGGTACTAGTTAGACGTCTACAAGAACATCTCCTAAAAAGTCTCCGAGAGGGTCTCCAAGAGGGTCTGAACGAGACCTCGAGGCAACACGCACCGTAGGTTGCACGTCACGCCATGCCTGTGATAGCTATAATACCTGTTGCTCCCTAGTGGTTTTCTAGTAACAACAGGTGAGTCTAAAACTTAAATTTGTACTCCAAGTATGAATAGTGATTTACTAGTAACAACAGCAACACCCTTACACTTTATACACCGACTACATCGCCACCAGTCCATTGAGATGGATCCGGTACAATGGAGAAACCAACTTGAGTCGAAACTGAATTTGGTTCTACTAACAAATCCGGTTTGGGAACACACATCCACCACGGTACAGCCATCTCGATCCCAACTCTACTTTTTGCATTGTTCTGGACTCTTGATACTCTCTAGATTTCATATATATATATACTTAGTTGTACTTGACCGCACTTGATAGACGACATTCTGTAATAGTGAAAGGTCAGGTTCCGATATCACATTCAATCTACACCTACCTGACTTGTCTAGAACATCTTCAAGACGTAGTGCAAAGACATCGCTAAGTAACTTGCATCACCTGAATCAAACTTACCTTAGTACCAAGCGACTCCGCTTCCTTAACCATACATCTATCTCTGGATTTGTATCCTTATCTAAACTCGCATCCACCAAACCCAACTCACTCCATCTCCTGACTACCTGCAAATTGCCAAGAACCTTAGACCCTACAACCGGAGGAAACCCTTAGCAACCTCCACCATAACAACCTCCTATCAGAACAGCTTCCCATTGAACCCCAAAATTACTCTACGGCCAAGCAGATGGTATTTGGGAATCGCGTATGATTGATATTGATCTGTTTACCAGACCTTTAGTATTATATAACAGCTCGAGCGAAGCGCTAAATCGCCTGTTTTCTTGGCACGGCCTCTTATAGGAAAGGCAGCAAATCGCATTCGGACGCACGACAAGCCTTCAAACCATGTCCCCGCCGCGCTTGCGTTATTTGATTCATGCCCTGATACCTTGCCCGTGAATCGCTAGTTCTAGGCTGGAATGGCCATATACAGGTCATGCAAGGCTGACGAAGGAAGAGCCTGTTTCACCAACCTCGCGACGAATAGGTCCACTTGCGGATGTTCGGTTTGAGTTACAGGTTGCTAGCTAAACCCCTGCCTCCTCAGCCTCCGCCAGAGCCTTATCTATCATTTCTTCATCGTCACCGTCAAGGTCCATCGTGGGAACCTCGAGCACTTGAGCCGGGGTTGTCGCCTCTTCCCGCTGCGCTCGCAAACCACCCTGATCCTCGACGCCTCCCTCCCATCCTCCTCGTCGCACAGCCGCTTCGGCTCCCGTATGCTCCGCTGCTCCTGCATCTTTACCGACTGGGGCGCGAGTATCTTGGTCGATCTCGGTATCCGGGGTTTCCAGAAGCGCTTGCGCTAAGTGCGACGTATAGACTGCCTGAGCTGGTACCTGCTCCAGCACGGCCTCAGACGTCTTCTCCTCGGATGCCTGCTTGTCTCGTATCTCTTCGAAGACATTCGGGACAGGCTCCACCGCTTGAGACTGAAACATATATAGATCGACACAGGGTTGGTAACTAGCGGCATAAAGTCTAGTGAGGATTACCACTCACGACAACCGTGGACTCGGCCTTGCTGCTTGGTCCGTTGACCAGACCGTCCGTTTTCGCTCCATAATCTTCTAGATGGTCGTAGAAGTCGCCGCTATTCCAGGTTCGGATATTAGTTTTTTTGTTCTTAAAAAGTCAAGCAGGCTATTCTACGCACCACGAAAAGTCCCACGTCCGAAGATATTTGCTGGCTTCGCACTGCTGTTTAGTCCATGCACTGCCGTATGCTAACGGACTGAAGTGGTTGAATGCGTATAGTGCCAAGAGAAAGAAGATGAGGGCGGCTTGGATCCGTTTGGTGTACTTGACGTTCTTCGTTACTATATCGAACGTAGCCGAGACGCAAAGGATGGCGAAGTAGAGCGCTGGAAAGTAATGGTGCAAGAACAACTGCCGCTGCATCAAAAAGAATGGCAGATAGTGTAGAGCCCAGGCCAGTGCAAGGAAACCACATGTCTCGTCATAGGTGCGCAAGATAGCTTGTGTAGCATGAGATCAGGAGTCAATCAGATTCAAAGAGCAGGTGTGCAGTTCTGACCGACCGGGCTTACGATTCCGAAGATCGCGATAACCACGTTGATTACGAAGGATCAGGAATCCGCGGAAAAGGAGGTATACTGTTATCGCCAAGCTACTCGACCACCAGATGACCGGGTTCCCAATGAGGTATATTTGCCGATGCTCCTTAACCCAAAAATTCTTGTTCCGGAGAAAAGGTGTGCAATCAGCTCGAGCAAATAGGAACACACCTCTCAGACTCACGATTCCCCTTCTAAGCCAGGGCCAATGGTTGGGTCTGGAATCATAAGCGTGTCTGTCGGTGAGGCCAGCGTTTGTTCGCCACATGACCGCCTGGAGTTCCAAAAATTTGTCCATAAAGCCGGGCTTTTGATAATTCACTTTCTCATCTTCAGGCCCGACTGAGGTAACGCTGCCTCAGCCAAGGCCCAGTTCATACGTGTGTGATATACCGCAACTCACGTTTTTCATGGGTGTTGGTCTCCACGTACCACAACGAATTATCCCATGTTGGGTTCTTATTGCAAGTCACCTGCGCATGGTTCATCGAGCGTGAGCTTTCTCACTTTCAGCGCAGGATAAAAACCGCTCGTTCGAACATACCTCTTGCTGTTCAAAGCCCCATTCAGGCAATTTGACCTTGTGCGAAAACAGGTAACATCCAGTCATTGCGTGACGCAAGCGGAAATGACTCCGAAGGGTCCTGAGCCTCTTCCTCGCCAAATGTTTATCCTTTCCTCCCCGGGTTCGAGGAGCTATTTCGACGATAAAGTCGTCGTTGGCGTCGCCCATGAACCTACAACAATGCGCATACTCAGCCTGAGATTATCGAGTTTCGAACTCTGCCCCCCACTGACCCAGGAAAGCCGTAGCCTGATACTTCGTTCTGGAAGTCAACCTCGCTTACAGGAGGTCTCACATCATGGGAATGTAGCCTCTTTTCAGTCGTCGTATGTTCCAGCCGTATTTTCAAGCCATTTTCGACATGGTGAAGAGGAGACGATTTCCAATCGCTCGAACCAGATTCGGCATCAGACGAGGCATTGACGACGCGCCACAGATTGTTGTCATCACGATGAGGATACAATGTGATTTGTTGCTCTAGGGTTGCTCGTGACCGTTAGTCTTAGACGATCTGCTTCCTAGAATAGGCATAGCTTACGATTACTGCCTCCGGGATAAGCGTGGGGATGTGAATGCAGGTATCCTCCCTGAGTCGCAACATGCCGAATGCTAATAACCGAGCCGAGCGAGACATCTTTTGAGTCGTTGCCTCGTGTATCAGTGCGGAATCTCAACTCGCATTACAACCATTTGCCTTACCCGCGTACGTGTCTTCCATGCCGTGTCCGATAAGCGTATGCTGAAACTCCGAGCTCATGAAGCCATCTCCGTCCCCGCTTCGGTTCAGGATCCAAAAGTGGATCTGGAACATCGCCATATAGAACAGTGAGGGTACCACAATGAGGCATAAGGCTCTCGCGGCAAAGTGGCGCATCCACATCCGGGGGGTAACCTTGAGATTGCCCAACAGGAGCCAAAGTTGTCGCAGAACACACAGTCCCACTGTAGCGATAGTGAAAAGGCCGACCCATTTGCAAGAGACCACGGCCCCTAACGAGAGACCCGTCATCAAGAGGTACGACCACCAACTTTTGCCAAAAGGAACGCCCGAAAAGTCCACATTGGAGAACCGCACCCAGAAAAATGCTGTCAGAGCAGTGAAGAATACGAGTGGCGAATCGAGGAGGATCAAGCGGGACTGAGTGACGAGACCGTTCTCGAAGATGACTAGGGCAGCGCCTAATGTTGCTGTTGTCTTGCGTGTTCCGAGTGACCGCAAGGTCAGATAGGCAAGCGGTATTATAGCAATGCCTAGAATGCCTGGCAGCATCCGCATGGTAACGTATGGAACGTCGATTCCAGGCTCCTTATAGTCCCTACACCACGTCAATGAGGTCAACATTTTAGGACATTCAGAAAAGATGGATAAGAAAGTATTGCGCCCGTCCTGAGACTTACTTGCCGATATCTTTAAAGTCAAAGTTCCCGTCAAACCCCCCGATCTTTGCAGCCAGCGTAATGAGCAGCTTTGCCAATGGAGGATGTACGTCCATGAAGAAGACTTGTCTAATATATTTGGAAGCGAAGCCCCCGAAATGTACTTCATCGAAGCTGTTTCGCAACGACAAATACGATCAGCCTTTTCTGGACGACTATCCCGGATAGTAACTGTATCCAAGTGAACATACACCACGCTCGTTGGAGACCAGATCTTCCATAGTCGCACGACTGCCGCGACTACGACTAGGAAACCGATTGCAATCTTTTCACCCCGGTTTATGGGTGGCTCGGAGGTAGAGGGATGTAACGAGCTCGCCTTTCTACTTAATGCAGTATCACGGCTCGACAAAGCCATACCGGAGTTGATGGGATGTCTCTGGAGGCGGGCGTCGGCGTCGGAGAGGGGCCGACTGATTCCTTTCTCGAAACTGTTTGTGAGGGGCCGGTCGTATACTTCTTTCCTTCCCATCTGCCCCATCTGCGAAGGGTCATATCCAGTAGTCCCCTTGTTCATCGCCATGATGTTTGCTGCTAAGCTCGAGACTCGGATTGACCGAGCTCGAAAGACGGGACTTCGAGACTGGCAACGATGTGCTCTGTGCCGACGACTCCTGGCGAATGACTCAGCGATTTAGATTAGGGTTGCTTTGCGATGTGGTAGATGCACGAATGACGGGCATCGATATGATGTCTGATCATGTCTGACACGTTGAGGGACAGCTGGATGCCCTTTGTATGGAGGAACAAGTACATGTCATCAGCTTCCGCTACGGGTCCGGGTGCTGAGCAACTCCCTCGAAACTTCGTGTGCTACACGGGGGGAACTTTGGTAACAGCAGGGCGGTCAAGATCGATGACATTCATAATGAATATAACTTCTATGGATGAACACAGTGACAAGTCCCAGAAGCATGAAGCGAACGGTTCAACATCGTCGGGTCGTAACAACAGGGATCGTTAGGCAGAGTTCTTTTGTGTATTTGACTATCTTTTGTATAAGACGCAGTGGAAGCGCCGGAAATCTCATGCTCGACCGCATAGAATGGTCAGAGGCCATGTCGTTAAGCCGATTAGTATCGCTGCGAGAGCAAGGAGGAAAAACGAAAGAAAAGTCAGAACAGGTCGTACTGTTTATGGAGCTAAGGAATTTCTCACGTAGTGGTCGGGCTTGTAAGGACCGGCCGAAGGCAGACCGAGGTAGTCGGCCTGAACAGTCGACAGCTCGGTGAGCTTGATGTCTATATATAGGTATCAAAATCGTTAAAAGCGTTCCTATTGTGCGATCGTTCTGCAAGATTACGCACTGAGGGCTCCCAAGTGGGACCTGGCGACTTCCTCATCCAAAGCCTTGGGGAGAATGCTAACGCGCGGGCAAGACACAAGCTATCAGCGTGAATGACCCAGATTCACATATGAAATCCCTTGACTTACTGCACACCGACGGGGTAGGCGGCGTTGTTGGTCCAGAGCGCGATCTGGGCCAAGGTCTGGTTGGCGAACGAACACGACATGACTGCAAGAGTGATCAGAGATCAGTAAGACTGTTGACCGGACCGTTGCGCTCGAGTAGGTTGTCTCACCAAACCTATACAGAGCCATCGATGGATCAGCATGGGTTCGTCTCTGTAACGCCAGACAATACTAGCTACTCACGAAGGGTGTCCGGTGGCCTATGGAAGTCGAACCAGAACAATAACAGCGTGAGTTGCTGTTCGAGGAAGATCACACAAGCAACAGCCTACGTACGCATCCCAAGTTGACCAGTCGTCCCTCGGCGAGCAAGATGATGTGCTTGCCTGAGGGCATGGTGTATCGGTCGACCTGAGGCTTGATGTTGGAAACGCTTTGAGCGTTCTGCTTCAACCAAGCGACGTCGATCTCGCTACGTGCATCAAGTGATGTCAGCAAGCCGTTCAGTTTCAAACGCAAGGACAGAGCGGATTACTCACATGTCGAAGTGACCGATGCTAGTAGACGTTGTGAAAAGAGCGGATCAGAGATCGCGAATAGTGGAGATGGCGAGCAGATAAGAGCACTCACTTGCAGACAATGGCGTCCTCCTGCATCACGCTGAAGTGGTCGCCGGTGATGATGTCTCGGCATCCCGTGGTGGTGACGAAGATGTTAGCCTTGGGGGCGGCCTCCTCCATAGTAGTGACCTCGTATCCAGCTGCAAAATCGTTGCACGATCAGATGATATCCAAGAAGCCATGGAAACCGATCGGAATTCACCCATAGCGGCCTGCAAGGCGTTGATAGGGTCGATCTCGGTCACGATGACTCGCGAACCATACGATCGGAGCGACTCGGCGCACTGGTTACGGACAAGCCATTAGCGTCGAATGCGATCCCCAACCTAGTAGCCCGCAACTGCTTACACCCTTGCCGACGTCTCCGAATCCAGCGACGACAGCAACCTTTCCGGCGAGCATGACATCGGTGGCCCTCTTGATTCCATCGACCAAAGACTCCCGACAACCGTAGTAGTTGTCGAACTTGCTCTTGGTGACCGAGTCGTTGACGTTGATGGCGGGAATCTTGAGTCGTCCCTCCCTGAAAGCCTTGTACAGGTGGTGAACTCCGGTAGTGGTCTCCTCCGAGACACCCTTGATCTCCTTGAGCATCTCGGGGTGCTTCTCGTGAACGAGCGAGGTGAGGTCACCACCGTCATCCAAGAGCATGTTGGGGGCTTGACCGTCGGGGAACTAGCAAAACAATCGGGTTCAGTTCAGGGGGATCTTCAAGCAGACAGGCGGGCAAGGCTTACAGCAGTCAACTGTTGCTCGATGCACCAGGTGTACTCCTCCTCGGTCTCACCCTTCCAGGCAAAGACAGGGACACCGGTAGCAGCGATGGCAGCGGCGGCGTGGTCCTGGGTGGAGAAGATGTTGCACGACGACCAGGTGACCTGGGCACCGAGGTGGGTAAGGGTCTCGATGAGGACGGCGCTGCGGATTTGCGCAATTTAGTAAGGGGAACTGGAAAGACCAAGTTGTTTGCCTGATGGGGATACTCACGTCTGGATGGTCCTGTACACATAGAACGAGTGTAGTGATATCTGATCAGAATTGACGCAATCTCCCACGAAAAGCAGAGAATGAGGTGCCTACATGTGGAGACATCCGGCAATCCTGGCACCCTTGAGGGGCTGCTCAGGTCCGTACTGAGGCAGAAAAGAAGACAAGGTTGAGTGTCGCGAAACGGATCCAGAACCGTAAGCTTGCTCACCCTCTCTCGGATGGCCAAGAGACCAGGCATCTCATGCTCAGCAATGTCAATCTCCTTGCGGCCGAAAGCGGCAAGGGAGATATCGGCGACCTTGTACGAAGCGGGCATATTGATGTGAATGTGTGTGTGTTTTCGGTTTGTTTTGGGTTGTTTTGTGGAGGCGTTGGAACGATCTTGGAGTCTCCCTTGAGGTGTTTGATGATCTTGCAAGTTATATACGCCGGGTACATGCTTCTCGATTCTCGTGCCACGTAGGAAAAACGAACGTTCCGCGGATGCAAAGCGAGTGAGATCGAGATCGAACGATCGGGGTGAGCTAGGGAGGTGACAGCTCGGAGATGCGAAATCAGCACTTGTCCGCTTCAGATTCAGGTTCGGTGGAGTCCGAGAGCACCAACCTAGAGGTCGAGGGTGAGTGCTATACGTGCTATTTTGAATCTATTGATCAAGGTAATTCATTCCATCGCTTCATATATCTCAGAGCCCAAGAGTCCGGCCTCCTGCAATCATCAGTCAAAACAAGTCGTGATAGAAAAGTTCAGTCTCGGCCGAGGGTGCAAGGGTACAAACACCTGTTGGACATACACCGGACCAGCCATGGAACCCTCCATGGATATGACCGTGGATTCTAATGTGTCCCCGACGGAGATGGAGGAAACGCTACAGCAGCTGTTCGACGTCGTGAACAGGCTCGAGGAGGGGCCTGGGAACGTCCCCCTTTTGAAGAAGAATGTAGCCCTGGCAAAGAAGGTTCAGATGACGCAAGAAGCTGCTGGGGGCCTTGAGATCTTGGCCAACACCGTTGGATGCCCGATATGTGAGCAGAAAGGTATTGGCCGGCTTCAGAAAGCCTCGACTCATGTTGCCGACGTTTATCTATCGATGATCTAGCTATCTGGTTGGAGATTCTGACCAATATAGAACAAGAGGTAGCGAACATCTCGGCAGGGCGGGCGTTGGAGATCGCATCGCTGTTCCGCAACGCTCTTTCGGATTATGCATGTAAGCTGGCCGAATCCCAACTGGTGTGAACATCGCGAATTGAACGTGACCATCCTTTCCGCATGTCCCAGCGACCGAAGTTGCTGCCCGTATTGGCGCGATACTGTCCACTCTACATGCTGTCGTACTGTCAGAGCAACAGGTAGACCACCCTATGGACGGTAATGGTGTCTCGACCACCGCTCTGTTGGATGAAGAAACAGCAAGAGAGCTATGGAAGGCTATTATTTCCGTTTCTGAACGTGTCATGTCCGAGGTAAGCATGTGGAGATGTATCATCGCTTTGAAACCCCAGATGTCTAATGGATATGCTTAGGACTTCGGCCTTTGGGAAGCTTATATCGGCTGGGAGGAAGCAACCGCGCTTGCCAAGACAGGAGAGGACAGGTCAGTCATCGTCAAACGATATAGGTGTACACTTCTGACATCGATATCATATGGTCGGACAGGGATACTGCTCTCAAGGCACTCAAAGGCAGATATATCGCTCATCTAGCTGTACCTCACAGTCGTACGTGGAATCGATGGCTTTTATCGTTCGATCTATACTGAAACAGTTCGCTGTCTTAGGTCTAACGGAGACAGCCGAGCGATACTCCACTTTCAACACCACCCACTTCCTGGAAGAGTACGAGCCAAACATGATCAAAGCCTCAAACATGTCTGCAAAATCTCTGGCTAAATATCAAGCACGAGAGACCTGGGAAGACGGCTGGCAGACCTTGGCGAAAGAAGTCGCCGAGTCGACAATGGTCGAGCCGACGTCCTTGTTGGATCGTCGTTTGGCGTATCTCTCGGCATGGCTCGAAATGGAGCTGAGCCTGCCGGAGCAAGGAACGAAGAACAAGGGAAAAGGCAAGGGGCGAGAAACGGATTCGCCTAAACTGGAGCCTTTCTACGTGATCATGGTTTTCGAGCGAATGCTCAGCGTTGCGAGCTTTAGGACCGAGAGAACGAGTAAAGTCAACGAGTCTCTAATCTGGCTGAAATATTACCGCTTCATGGTGAGTGACACCGACGGTAAGATTGTAGACAGGAATCGAGGTTGATCTTGCACGTGAACGCTTCGTGAAGTACGCCACCAACGGGATCGCCAAGGCGGAGGCGGCCAGGATCCTGACAAGGGCCGCTCGATGCTGTCCTGAGAGCGGGGAGATTTGGGCTACCCTTCTTCGCCATCAGGTGAGTAGACGCGACCATCATATTGAATGTACACGGCCTGACCATGTGATCTGTCGCTGAGCGTTGCAGGAAGCCATATCCAAGGATATCACAGAGATGAATAGCACATATCAACGGGCCCATTCACTGGGCTTGCTAACACAGGGCGTTCACGGCCCCTTGAGTGTGGGAGAGGTCCATCCTGTAGAAGAACTAGTCACGCTCGAATTGGCTTGGTGTGGCTTGACCCGCAGGATGGCGGAGGCAATGGCATTCTCCGATGCAGACGGTATGTCTACTGTTGGGCTTTGACAGCTCTGTTCCGTATAATTAACCGATTGCGCCTTTTTCCAGAGCGCGCCAACCAATTCGATCTCGTCGAAGTCACAATACGGGAAAGCATGCAGAAAGTACGATCAACGTACACCAAGAGCGATTCTGGCTCGAGGCTGGAATTATACCTTATCAGCTGGGTAAGTCACCAAACATTTTGTTGAAGTGATGATCCCGCAGTCCTTCTCATCATCTGCTATATGTAGTTGGAGAAACGAGGGCAGATAGCGGAGGCCGTGCAAATCTGGGAGCACGTGTGTAAAGTCCGGCCGAAAGACTATCAAGCTTGGACTGGTCAGGTTGAATTTCTGATGTGAGTTTTCAGTTGACATACATCAGTATATACGACCCAGACTGAAATCCGACGGCAGTCGGCACGAGCATATTCCCCAGGCTAGAACGGCCTTGAAAATCGCCGCCAATCGCCAAGGCATGGACTGGCCTCAGGCCATATGGAGCCGCTGGATATCGTTCGAGGAGACTCATGGTTCGATAGAGCAGGTGGTCGCTGCTCACTCCAAGGTCGCCTCGCTATCAGACGCCCTTGCACGTCAAATGGCGGAAGTAAGCGCATTCTATCGCCATTTTTGAGCTCCGCTCAGTACTAATTCACCCGTTGAGCAGCAATCTGCGGCACATAACCCAGAGCCCATCAAACCGCAACCAGACCAATCGACAATTCTTGAAACTGAGGATGCTCGCACTGCTCCAGCAACAAAGCGCAAGGCCGAGGTTGCCAGTCTCGATGACACAACCAACGAATCCACAAAAAGAGTCAAGCAAGATCAGACCGACATTGAAAAAGTGGAATCTGCACCCGCACGGTGCGTAGCAGGCTTGCTGTCAGCACATTGTTATCGAGCTCGGCTGATAGCTCGGCCTGCGTTATAGGGATCGCGAATTTGCCACGGTCTTGATATCTGATCTACCGGAAGATGTTACCGAAGATATGATTCGACAACGCTTCAACGACGTAAGAGAGTAGCCATTGACTCGGTCAAAACCCTCGCCTGACTTTCAAAACCTTGCTCTATGTACTGTGCGCAGTGCGGAGAGGTTAGAGAAGTCGTCGTCACCACGAAAGGAACATCTACGACTGCGTCGGTGGAATTCATTGATAGGGTAGATATATCGCCCTGGGTGATCTGCAACGGCATTGTCGTTAACCTAGGGGTCATTCCACCTTGCGTGTAGGAAAGTGTTCCGGCAGCTCTGACCAAAGACAAGAAGAAGATCGGAGACGCTCAAGTTCATGTGTACCAAGCTGGGCAGACGACCTTGTTCGTGACGAACTTTCCCGAACAGATGGACGACGATGCTATACGGCAGCTGTTTTCGAAGGTATGGAGTAGAATACCCGTTAAGCGCGATCAGAGAATCCGTCGCTCACGCATAGTTTGCGTTGCAGTATGGCGAGATGCTTGACCCCCGTTGGCCGAGTAGAAAATACAAGGATTCTCGTCGATTTTGCTATGTTCAGTTTCTTACTACTGTGAGTGCTAGTCATGGCACTGTAATCGGCGAGGTTTTGCTCAGATGCTGTTGCAATCTGCCATAGGCATCCGCCCATGCGGCTTGCGAATTGAATGGCCAGGAGCTGGAGCCGGGACTCGCATTGTCCGTCCTCATTTCCGATCCGGAAAAGAAGAAGCAGAGGAGCGACGCGAACTCGGACCAGCGCGAGGTATATATCACAGGGCTATCCAGATTCGTTGCTGAAAAGGACCTTAGACGACTCTTTGGGGATGTGAGTCATAACGATCGTATCCACGGGGATGCATCAACTGAGTGAAAACTTGCGGGTGACAGTTCGGCGAAATCAAACGCGTGAATCTCGCGACAGACGACGAAGGACATTGCAAAGGCTTTGCCTTCCTGGAGTATACCGACGAGGTGAGCGTTTTCATAGCTTGTGCTCATGTCGAAGAAACGTCTCATAACATACCATTCTTTCGTAGGCTGCCGTTGAATCGGCGTTGTCACTGGACGGCACTCAACTGAAGAAGCGCGTCATGAAGGTCAAGCGGATCGACCCTTCAGCAAAGTCCAGCAAGCAGGCTGGCGAAAAGCGTCAGTGTTCTGCTTAGCCCACTGGACTTCTCGTCGGAGCTGACCGTACCCCGACGCTCACAGAACCCGTCAAGCAGCAGCGAGAAACTGACGAAGTGTCGCGCAGCATCAAACTGACAGGTTTGGCTTCGCGGACTCAGGAAGGGCTCTTGCAACAGGCTTTGGAGAAGGTTGCCAAAGTGAAAAGGGTCGAAGTCTTTGCTGATTCGGCCGAGGCTGTTGTAGAATTCGCCTCCGCCGCCGTAAGTCAACAGCCAACATACCGCGTTCTTTCGTGCGCTGAGTCTGTCGTGCCGTTCCAGGACGTTGGCACTTTTCTCCTACGCGGCACCGAATTCGATTTTGCAGGCAACAGCTTGGCCGTTGCACCCTTGGGTAGATCTTCAGAAGTGCCCAAGGCTGCGAGCAGACCGGTTCCCGCCTCTGACAATTCTACATCGGCAAGTAGACAGGCCATGCCGCTGAAACCGCGACCGCCAAAGGCGGGCAACCGAAAGAGAGTCTTGGCTATCCCTCAGGCCAAGCCAGCCTCGACCGGGTCACCGTCAACATCTATTCAACCTGAGCAGGTCGGTCATAACGCACGAGATGGAATGAAGGGACAGGATCATTTCAGAGACCTGCTTGCGGGAAAGCCTGTATAATGTATTTTCCGCGCTTCACGGCCAACTAAATGCGATCGATCACAAGGAAACGACTATCATTTGAGATAGCGCTCCCAGACGGGCAACGTGTCTAGAAAAGACCTCAGCATTGCGACCTCCGCAGTACTCCAAGCCAAGTCGCCGTTTTCAGGTTGTTCTTCCAGCGCTTTCAAGAGATCTCGCACATTCATACCGACGATGACGCGCTTAGTGAGAACGCGGCTTGTATGCCCCATCGCCACATCCTTGCCGGATGACCTCGGCTTGCGAGACAGCGATATGGTACACTTATCGCTCAGCTGATTGACCACGATTTTAGAGCACGTAACAATAGGCGCTGGTGTCGGTAGTGGTGGCGTATCGTTGCTGTAAAATACGATTTCCGGAGGCGACGAGCAAGTCACATGGATGCGACCCTGTTGCAGGCGGAAAACAGCCTTTTCCGACACGGATGAGCCGCAGCGGATGATCTCGCTGGCTTGAACGACTCACTTGGTCTGTCTTCTTTTTCGCCTGATCCACCATGGCGGCCACATATCTCCATGTTCCTACTTCCCGACGAGTCCAGCCGCTCGAGTCTGTCAGGCGCAGGATGCTGGGGCCTTTCGTGTGCGTCCGTGGAGAAAGCTGCGTCATGGTGCAGAGGTGGCCGTCCGCGGAGATATCGTATCGCACCTTTCTTGCGACGAGTTCCATCGAAAGACCTGTCCATGTCGATTCCACTGGGATACTTGGTCGGATGACCAATCGTCCGCCGTCGAGTGTGTATATCCCGGGCGGCAGCGCACCTGAAGACAAAGCTTCCAACTTCGTAGTAGGGATCGAAGCCATCTCATGGTCGCGATCCAGGGATTCGCTATCTTTTGCTGCATGACGAGCAGGCAAAATTTTTGTGTTCGGTACGGCTCGTCGCGGCTCTATACGATGAGGCGAGGTTCTTTCAGGCGATTTCGCCTTGGTTCCTTCTGCCGATCCGTCGCCGCGTTTGGTATATGATCGATCCCCGGGAAGGGATTTGTTGGCCGGATGGACCGGAAGCTGGGTAAGGGAAATCTTGGGAAGAATTGTGTTTGCTGATGCAGCTGGTAACCGGAGCGACCCAGAGCCGCCGACGTCTCTGACCCGGCGTCTCAAGCTAGCCTCCATCCTTTCTCGCCTACGGTCTCTCCAATCGGCTTCCAAACGACGGAGAGCCAGCGGCGTAATTTCGGCCATGAAGAGCCCGGAATTATTGAGAAGCAGAAGGAAATGACCAACTTCGGTACGAGAGGGAAGATTGGGCGAAGGGGTAGGCAAAGCCAACAGCAGTACGAGACCGTCTCGGTGCCCGTTAGTCCGTCAACATGCGCGGAGCATCATAGCCGGTCGCCGGTCTAGCTTGCTGGACGTATGGAAGAAGTTTCCTATGCAGGACTGGCCTTAGTGACGACGATCGATGTGCAATGTGACCCAGTACTAGTGATCCCAGCAGATCAGCAGTTACGGAATGTGAGTATGTTGATGTGTACGAATACTCGTACATCCCTAGCCTGGCTTCGTATCGGCTTACGTCATCAAACAGCGATTCCGATCAACAAAAAGTAAACAAATCGATCAGATAAATGCCAGACGAGTAGCGAGTAGGCAGTGCAAGTCGGAGTCCATGATCCGTGAGGCTGCACTGAATCACTGAATTACGGGATCACTGTACAGCTACCAGTCACACGCCGCATTCCTGCATAGCAGGGTTTGTAACGAGGATCAGTCATAATAGTCGGCTGAATCCAGAAACCGACGACCTTCCTCGGCGGAGAGCGAACAGGGGGAAGCAACGTCTCTCGACCCTCATACTTGACGCTAATCTCGAACAAAATGGAGGAATTTGACTATGAATCAAGCGATGGTGGCATCGAGATACTGGACAATGTCACCGGCTACGAGAACCCGAAGAATGCTGCCGCCTCATCCTCGACTATAACCTCCGCCGGTCCTTCAGCTCTGAATAATTTGGATACTGAAGTAGGCTCATGTCTTGCCAGAAACATTCAGCAGACGAATCAATTCATCCCTCTTATCGTTAGATCGCCGCTATAGATGACCAGATAGCATCTCTACGACAATTGCGCTCTGTATTGCAGAAGGAACGTCAAAGTCTTCTGCAGCAGGCTTCGTCGGAACAAGTAAGACAGACGTTGCCCTTGGCCAAAAAGAAGAAGAGCGCAGAGATCCTGCTCGATTATACGAAACCTTCCGAGCCTTTCGAATGGGCCTCGCAACTGAAAAAGACGATGGAAAAGGTGTGGGGCATAAAGTCATTTCGGTAAGTGCATCGTCAGCGTGGCCAGGAGATTTGTCGAATCCGAAACACCGATATGTCTCCACGCAGACTTTGTCAAGAAGGGGTTTGTAATGCAAATATGGACGGTAGGGACATACTCTGTAAGCGTTCAAGAACGCGGGCGGCTTCCTCGTGGCATGCGCTGATATCACATGTGACTGAATAGGTGTGATGCCCACGGGGGGTGAGTTTGTTGTTCCATGCGTTCAGAAGTCATTGCTGATTCTGGTACGACCAGGCGGTAAATCGCTATGCTATCAACTACCAGCACTTCTAAGCCCAGGAACTACCATCATTATCAGTCCCTTATTATCGCTTATTGCCGATCAAGTTCTGAATCTGAGGGAAGCGGGTGTCGAGTGCGTGATGTTGACCGGAACCACGTCGAAGCAAGAGCAGAACGAGGCCTTTGCACGGATGACAACGAAGCCGGGCCCAGGTGGTCGGGGAAAAGAAATCAAGGTCTGCAGTGTACTTCAACAGCTATTGAGCTACATCTGGACTGACCAGCCTATCGCGCTTGTACAGCTATGTTATGTGACTGTAGGCATACAACTCCATCACTGCCACCTTCAAATCATCTTAACTCCTCCGTGTCATAGCCCGAGAAAGTGGCCAAGAGCAAACGCCTGATTAGCGTGATGGAACAACTCGCCACGTCCGGGCGACTTGGTGAGAGGAACTCATCGTTGTTCTCGACCGGTTATGGCTGATATGAGCCGTGTTTAACAGCCCGTATTGTCATAGATGAAGCGCGTAAGCAGGATACAGAAGTTTGGGTACATCGATCATACCAGCTGATTGCGGCCCTATCCGTTAGATTGCTGCTCGGCTTTAGGCCACGATTTCCGGTACGCCGAGGCGGATTTTTGCACGCGTTCTCGTTGAACCAAATCCTCCTTGAATGTAGTCCCGATTACAAGCGGCTTTCCGTTTTGAAATCGCTCTTCCCCAAAGTACCCATACTTGCAGTCGTAAGGTTGCGTGGCGTTGTGCGAATCGTGTTCGGGACTAATTCTCACTGCTTGTTTCTGTAGACAGCCACTTTGTCACAAAAGGTCCTACCAGATCTCCTGAAGATCTTGAAGCTGCCACCGCTCTGCGATGGCCGAGGTATTTATCTGCATAGCCACTCACCTATCAGTCTGCTGATTCCCGTCTGAGATTCTTGCCGGTTAGCGGCCAATTCCCGCGGGACTTGCGCCTTCTCTGCTCCGCTCTACCGAAAAAATCTGCATTACAAGTACATTCGCACCAGACAGAACGCTTGTCCAGCAGTGGGCTAAGCGAGTATTCGCGAATTTTAGGGTTTTGCCCAAAGCTACAAACGCTAAAGTGGCTATACAAGAAATGGCTGACTGGATACGAGAACATCATCCGTGAGCAGGACTCCAGTTGATATGATCACGACGCTCGCTCAGGCTGACGCGCTGGGATGAACAGTGGAGAGTCGGGTATTGTCTACTGTCTTAGCAAAAAGGATACGGAGGTCGTCGCACAAGGATTAATGGAAGCCTCGCAAGGCTCTATCAAGGTATGCCGAGAGGCTCGTCTTGTTTTCCAAAGTAGAAAGCTTACCTCGAATGCTGTTTAGACCGGCGTCTATCACGCTGATGTGGCAGATGCAGCCAAAGAGAGGATCCATCGAGATTGGAAACGTGGCAAGCTGCAGTCGGTCTACATATCTGGGCTTGGTAATACCATATACTGATTTATGCCCCATTAGTTGCGTTTGCGCAACGATCGCATTCGGCCTCGGAATCGATAAAGCAGAGACCCGTTATGTCGTTCACGCTTCCGTGAGTCAGCCTGAGGCTCAAGAACGAGCCTAACTGACATGCTTTTGCGGCGAGCGAAGATGAGCAAATCCATGGATGGCTACTATCAAGAGACGGGTAGAGCAGGTCGAGACGGAGCACGAAGCGACTGTGTTTTGTATTACCGTCACCAAGATGCTTCAAGGTAAACTGGTTACCTCAGACAAGTATATCGCCACATGCAGCTCACTTTTAATTATTCAGAATACTATCACTCACTCTAGGAGAAACTGACGGGCAAAGCAAGGGTATGCATCGCCGCACGACAGCATGTTGTAGTGGAAAGCCAGTCGGCGCATGAGCTGAATCTTCTGCCTTTTAACATAGTACACGACATGCTGAGGTATGCTCAAGGTGAGACTTAGGTGGGTCCTGTTAGACCCGGTGTTTCGGTGATCTGATGCGAACTGCTCTCGACAAACGTGCAGACATCACCACGTGCCGTAATAAAATCTTTGGAAAGGTAATCGCCGCGATCGAAGGATGCAAAATCTGATGCTCACCTCTGCTTTACAGTACTTCGCATCCAGTGCCCTGCTCTCTTCAGAAAAAGGCGATAAAAGCCCAGAAAATTTGGATTCACCATGTGGACACTGCGACAACTGCTGTCGAAGTTCTGATCAGAAACAGACGCTGGACATGACCCGCGCCGTTTGGAAAGCACTGAAAGTGGCGGAAGCGGTGTCCCGCGCCGGAGGCCGAGTGACACTGAGCGGATTGGCGGACGTGGTACGAGGTCTCGCAGGAGGAACATTCCCAGTAGTCCAGCCATCGAAAGCGCAATCATCGGAGACACGAGGGGCAGTAGATCTCGAGGCGCTTTGTGGCGGCAAGCTCATTTTGAGCAAAGAGGTGCGTCGGACTCTGCCCGCAAAATCTGCAATGCAACCTGAAACCTGTCTGAAATCGAAACTCTAGCGAACGGAAACACTGCTCTTGGATCTGGTTCTCAACGGGTATCTTCAAGAGGATTTTCACGCCACTGCTTGTACGCCGCATTTCGATCGAAACTAATGATACTTGGGCTGATAGGTTGTGTCCAACAGATGCCGTCAATGTTTACGTGCAACCGGGACCAAAGGCTACGAGATATACTCGACTGGCATCGGGCGCCGTAGACGAAATTGCAGCATCGCTGGTATACGAATTCACATTTTTGGCTACCGGCAAGAGCGCAGCTCAATCCAGTACCCGAGCGACCGCTGGCGTCAAGAGGAAATCGACCGCTAAGAAAGGCACGACGGGTGATTCCAAGAAGCGGGTCAAGGGTCGTGGCCGTACATCAGAAACTCCTGATTCGGATTTCGACTTTGAAGTGGAGCAGATGGCGTCGGAGGAATTCGAGCTCTACGGATGAGTCCGATAGCATTGTAACCTTTCGGCTGGATGTAGCTCCGGCTTTTATGAGTCCGACGTGAAGCGAGTTTCTAGTAACTCTGGATGCACGTTGAAATACCTATTCATCGAACCAGTCACCGTCTCGATTAGCTTGGTTCAGGTTGTGCGAAAAGGACAGCTCTCCCGACTGACCTGACGACTGAACCGGTATGCGTCGCTTTGCCCCCCTCGACGTTCCATCGGCCGAGCACTTTCCCTGTCCGGTCAGTAGTAACTGCCTCCAAGGATGGAGCATCGACCACGCTATCCGCTTGTTCCCGTAGTTTCCAAGTAGTAAGTGGGCGCTCACTCGGCGCCAAGATGCCCTGATCGTTTATAAAGGTATTGCGTTCCTGCAAGAACATGCTTGTCGTAGAGAGGATGAAAGGATACTGAGCATCCGCAGCTCCTCGTACGATCCGGTTTACATATGGCCCGGTAAAAAGGGATATGAGATATGTCGAGAATGTGGTCGTCTGAAGATGCACCGATCAGGATAATCAGTAGCCGAAGTGGATCTCGCGCGAGCCTGAAAGCGCGTACCGAAATCGCTGTCACGGCAAGGAATATCCTCCCAGATGTTGGCAGTGAAGATTCCAAGATGAAGATGAAGGGAGATAGCGCCGCAGAAAGTCCCAAGGAGGATAGCGAAAAGAGTCTGCCATAAGCATGACAGGTTAGATCTCTCTTCAATTGAGCGCTCGTGACATATCGATTCGGACGTACTTTAGATACTTGAAAGTCTTGGAATACGGTCCTTCGTAGACCGTTTTAGCGTCTTGCGGAATGACGAGTTTTGTAGTTTGCGGTCGAGAGGACATTTGACGGGTCAATTGGGTCGAACGAAACATGACTGGCGCAAGACGAGTTCCGGCAATGCGATCGACGTTGAGCGATGCGGCTCTACGGCAGATGAGCGAGCCAGGGTGACGAGCGAGTATGGACATTTTGCGTTTCTCGTGATCGTTGAGTCTCAGGATACGGTAATAGCTGGCCGCTTTGATGAAGTCGTCCTACGAACCAGATCTGGTGGATCGTGTAGATGCGTAGATGATTGTCGACATGCAACATGCAACATGTCAACATCATCGAATGCTTAATGCATCGAAACATCGCGACGACCAACGCCAAAGTCCGAGCATTCGGTCGCGATTCTTGATTCACGTGACGATCTGACGTAATCGATGACGGCATCTTGGTCGTAAACAAGAATTCATCTGGTGGCGGTAAAAATTACTAGCCTGGCGGCAATCGACTTTACATTTCAAATACCAACACTCTCTCCCTATGGCTTGACGCCAAGGAACAGCCACATGCACGAGTCCCTGGTAATACTCCCTTGCATCCGGCTCGGTGAAAACGATCTCGGGGAATAAACCTCTTTGTTACCCCTATTGGAACGTCTCGACGATCAACTGTTGATCGTCAAGACCCTTACAATGTTACTGTACAACATTCCACTGGATCTGTTCTTTGTACAATTGCCTAGAAGTCTTCCCTATCAAATTTCACATTGATCTATCACTTAGAAACACGCCCTTGCAATTGCATTAGTATTCAAAATCGATACGTTATCACAATGAACTCTTCCCAGGCAATCGACATTGATCAGCTCCCCGACGTCCTCAACCAATACACTGGTATGGAGGAAGACCTACTTGACCTTTTTATAAGGGACGAAGCAGAGAAAGAGGCCGAAGAAGAGGTTCAATTAGCTTCTCCCCCGCCCTCCCCCCTTGTTATCGCTCAACAATCGATTCCAGGGGATTCGTTCTCTGTTCAACTCCCTGAGTTTGACCCCACGATGGACATGGATGCCATCGTTGCAGAGATCAATCTCCATGGCCAAGCCCACGGGTATGCTATAAGGAAGTCGAACGTTAGTAAATACCAAGGGGTCGTTCGCAGTTTCAACTTGAAATGTACTCGCGAAGGAGAATATACCCCATCGCACGACTACATCAAACAAACGGGACTTGCTCGAAACAAAAAAACTACTACCCAGCGATGTGGCTGTGGATTCAAGATCTATGTTAGCTGCGATAAAGCTGGCCAATGGTCTGTTTCACCGCGGTGTTTGACTCACAATCATCCACCGGCCGAGACCCCTGGAGTGTTTCGACAAAATCGAAAAATGACACCAGCCGAAGCAGCTATTGTAGAAGCAGGTTGCTGTTATAGCGACGCGCGTGTACGCCGGGCTCGAGTCGTACCAACTCCGGCGGAGTTGTTCAAGGAGCATATCGTATTGTATCACTTTGTATCATCATTGTAGTATATAGTCTTTCATCTGTTATTACATCTATATACCCTAGTCCTACGTTCTACATTACTCCCGGATATGTCCTCGCAGGTATACATCGAGCCGGTCTTCCCTGGAGCCTTCTCGACGCCTAACAGAATAACAGATCATCCGAGTTCCCCGAGTAATGACTTGAACGTAGCAACTGGAGAACCGTTGGTGCTGAGCAGCATAGGTTCTCCCTCTCGGCCGGAGGCTCATATTACAGTCGCCGGCACCTTCTACCCGAATGGTACTCCGACGGAGACGGTCTTGATGATCGACTCAGGAGCGACCAGTTTGTTTATAGACACCGAATTCGTCGAGCAACACGGATTCGACCTCATTCCTTTAGAACGACCCCGACCACTCCTGGTCATTGATGGGAGAGAGATCTCTTCCGGTGCAGTTACACACCGGGTACAAGCTAGACTACGTATCGGTAGACATACCGAAACGGCGTACTTCTACGTATGTAGCCTCGGAACTTTCACAACGGTGCTCGGCCTACCATGGTTGAAGGAGCACAACCCCCGAATTGACTGGGAAATGAGCGCAGTAGCGTTCGAAGATAAGTGCGTCCAGAACGGATGTACACCAGCAAAAGAAATAGTATACTCCCCCGTGGATTACGAAACGGAGGAGAAGGAGTTACGTTCGACGGACCGAATCAAAGGAGGGGTCACCGAAGAACTAGTAGTGGCCTACCTCAAGGCCAATGATGAAGAAGAAGAGAGGGTGAGGCGTCCCGACTTATGGGATTGGGACGACAAGCCAGCGGAGAGTTTCCCGGGAGACCTGGACCCTCCCGAGTATATGGAGACGTTACGGAAGGTGGTACCGGAAAAGTACCACGCTTTCCTCGGAGCGTTCTCCAAGACCAAGGCCGACGAGTTGCCGGCACATAGAGACTTCGATCACTCGATCGACGTAGAGGAAGGGAAAGTACCCCCCTTCGGAAAACTCTACAACCACTCCGAAAAGGAGAGCGCCGAATTGAAGCGCTGGATCAAGGAGAACCTTGATAAAGGTTTTATTAGGGCTTCGACGTCACCCGCCGCAAGTCCCGTATTGTTTGTCCCGAAGAAGGGAGGAGAGCTCAGGCTCTGTATTGACTACCGGCGTTTGAACGCCATTACCACAAAGGATCGGACCCCGTTACCGCTGATTTCCGAGACGCTCGATAAGTTAACGACAGCGAAGGTCTATACCAAGTTGGACCTCCGAGGAGCGTACAACTTGTTACGAGTAAAGGAAGGGGACGAATGGAAGACAGCTTTCCGTACTAGATACGGACTGTTCGAGTGTCTGGTGATGCCGTTCGGGTTGACGAACGCTCCGGCGACGTTCCAAAGGTGGATGAACCATGTGTTCAGGGACCTTTTGGACGAGTCCGTCGTAGTGTACCTGGACGACATCCTCGTGTTCTCTCCCGACGAGACTACGCACGAGAGACACGTGAAGGAGGTGCTGCGAAGGCTACAAGAAAATGGGCTGTACGCCAAAGCAGAGAAGTGTGAGTTCCACACAACAGACACGGAGTTCCTTGGATACGACGTGTCTCCGGGAGGGGTGAAGATGAACCCCTCCAAGGTGTCGTCCATAGAACAATGGGCGGCGCCTCGAAACCTGAAGGGACTACAGTCGTTTCTAGGTTTCGCCAACTACTATCGGAGGTTCATCACGAACTACTCCCAGAAGATACAGGGGATGACGAAGCTCCTGAAGAAAGGAGTGCGGTTTCAATGGAACGAATCCGCAGAGACTGCGTTCGTAACGCTGAAGAAAGCGTTCACGCAGGCGCCTATACTGGCGCATTTCCAGGAAGATGCAGAGGTAACGTTGGAAACGGATGCCTCGGCCGGAGCGATTGGAGCAGTGATGTCGCAGAGAGGTTCGGACGGAAAACTCCGACCAGTAGCGTTCATGTCAAAGTCGTTGACTCCCGCAGAGCGGAACTACGACGTTCACGACAGGGAGATGCTGGCCATCGTCTACGCCTGCAAGATATGGCGACACTACCTGGAGGGACCTCACCCTATTCGGATCTTTACCGATCACAAGAACCTCGAGTACTTCCGAACGGAGAAGTTACTGTCGAGGCGACAAGCAAGATGGTCTCAGCTGTTGAACAGTCTGAGCTACACCCTGGAGTACAAGCCGGGGGTGATGAACGGTAAGGCCGACGCCTTGAGCCGGAAGGAGGAGCTCCTGGAAGAGAGCGAACCAAGACAGACCGAGACGATGCTACGGCCCATGAATCTCTCGGCTACAGCGCGGGAGATCCCTCCGCATCTACAGATCAACGGTACCCTGCCAATTCCCGGCGAGGACCTCCGGAGAGACCTGTTGCAAGGTTACGAGGCGGACGAAGTAGTCAAGGCCATCTTGGAGAAGATGGAGAGGGAGCCCAACGAGCAGGGTCCCTACAAGAAGGATGGCGAGGGGTTCCTAATCTACAAGGGACTCCTGTACGTCCCTGATGTGGAGTCGGTAAGGGTCCGACTGATGAAGTACGTTCACGACGGCAAGCTCGCGGGGCACTACGGGCGAGACAAAACGGAGGACCTTCTCTCGAGAGACTTTTATTGGCCCCGAATGAGAGACTGGGTAGGCAACTACGTGGCCTCGTGCTTGACGTGCCAGAAGAACCGCCGTCCCCGACAAAAGCCAATCGGAGAATTGGCCCCCCTACCTGCGGCGAGGAAGCCGTGGTCGTCTATCACTTGGGACCACATCACGGACCTCCCCGAGTCATTGGGCCAGGATGCAATCCTGGTAATCGTCGACCGCTTCAGTAAGCGGGCACACTTCATCCCGTGTCGAAAGGATAACAACGCCTCGTACCTGGCGAAGTTATTCTTCTCCCACTACGTCAAGTTGCACGGGTTCCCTGATCAGATCATCTCGGACAGAGGAACGTTGTTCATGTCTAGCTTCTGGCGGGATGTATGTGCTTTTGCGGGTGTCGAGAGGAGATTCTCGACGGCATACCACCCGGAGACTGACGGACAAACGGAGAGGAGCAACTCGACGTTGGAACAGTACCTGCGGAGTTACGTGAACTTCCAGCAGGATGATTGGGCGGAGTTGTTGCCTCTGGCGGAGTTCGCCTACAACAACTCCAAGCATTCCGCCATAGGGATGTCGCCTTTCATGGCCTCCGAGGGGACTGACCACAAGTTCACCATCCGGATGGCCGAAGTACCCAATGAAAGCGCGGATGAGTTCAGGGAGCGACTCTCGAACATCCACGAGTCGGTACTCCGGGCGTTGGAGCAAGCAAGGGTGGATATGGCGAAATACGCCAACAGAAAGAGGCGGCCCGTTCCCGACGAGGGAATGGAGGTCGGAGATCAAGTGATGTTGTCTACGGACCACATCAAGACGGTTCGTCCAAACAAGAAGTTGGACTACAAGACCCTCGGACCTTTCAAGATCACCGAGGTCGTGGGAGATGCGAAGATGGCGCGGAGATTGGAGCTTCCCGAGCAACTGCGGCGAGTACACCCTGTGTTCCATGTCTCAATGCTGATTCCGTACAAGCGGAACGAGCTGCCCTCGCGGGAACAGGTCCCGCCTCCTCCTCCAGAGGTGGTGGATAACGGTGACACCCAGTGGGTAGTATCTGAGATCGTAGATTCGCGGAGCAGGAAGCGGGGACGTCAGACGCGTACCCAATATCTGGTGCGGTGGGAAGGTTACGAGGATGAGTATAACGAGTGGGTACATCCGGAGGACTTCCACCATGACGACCAAGCGGTGCTGGATTATCATCGACGATACCCAAACAAGCCGAAACCTGCTTTCGAGGAGTACGGCGATGCCTAGGGCGTTCGGAGTCCGCCCTTAATGGGGGGATCCTGTTATAGCGACGCGCGTGTACGCCGGGCTCGAGTCGTACCAACTCCGGCGGAGTTGTTCAAGGAGCATATCGTATTGTATCACTTTGTATCATCATTGTAGTATATAGTCTTTCATCTGTTATTACATCTATATACCCTAGTCCTACGTTCTACATTACTCCCGGATATGTCCTCGCAGGTATACATCGAGCCGGTCTTCCCTGGAGCCTTCTCGACGCCTAACAGTTGCAAGGCAAATCATCTACCTTCTGCGACCCTAGCAGAGCTTCGACACAAAGCAGCACAGGAGGGAAGAGAAACATTGGTTTCAATTAAAGAGATCTATAACGCTCGTCAAAAGTTCTATTCCAATGCAGCGAGTGGAAAAACACGCACCGACGCATTGATTAAACAACTCGATTCCGCTGGAATACCTTTCGAGACCTGTTTCGGTGCAGCCAATGTGTTAACACACTTGTTTGTCACTGAACCAATGGCCATGACCCTTGCTCGACATTACGGGCAATTGTTATTTATCGATTGCACCTATAAAACAAACAAATACAACATGCCGATGCTTCACATCGTTGCAGCGACCGCGAGCAATACTACATTTACTGTGGCCTTTGCATTCATGTCTCGGGAAAGGGAGAAGGATTACATCTGGGCAATGAAGTGCTTCAAACGATTCCTAGGGAACACTCCAGTGGAAACGGTTATGACCGACGCCGAAATGGCCTTGCGCAATGCGATCGAGCAAGAATTTCCTCGCTGGAAACACATCCTATGTCTTTGGCATATACAACAAAACATCGTAAAGAACTGCAAGAAAGGTCTTCCACAGGACACGTTCATTGAATTACTTCGAGCCTGGTGGGGTGTTGTAAGACAACCAACGGAAGAGAAGTTCAAGAACGCCAAAGTCGATCTAATTCATCGGTACGGTCAAAATGGATCGAACACCCAACAAATGGTGGGGTACTTGATCATTGGATTCGAAGAGGCGGAACGCTTTGCCTTCTACGCTACTGGGCAAGCGTTCCATCTGAACTATCTAGCTACCTCGACCGGTGAATCGTTCCATCGCGCTGTCAAAAGGCAAATCAAAGGCAGTGGCGATCTCTTTGCAGCGACCAACGCGGTATTGAACCACATGGAGAGTACGCAGCTCAAGATCTTCGATATTCATGCCAATGGACCTGTTCGTAGGAACATCAGTTTGCCTGAGTGCTTTGTGCAGGTCAGTTGGAGTCGAGCAGTGTGTCGTTCCCTTGGAATCGTTTTTTTGACCTGTTTCGAACAATAGCTCCACGGGAAAGTTTCAACGTACGCGATCGACCTTATGCATCAACGGGGGTACCTCTTTGCAAAAGCTGTGAAGGCTAGCAACGGTCAACTAGACCCCTGCACAGGTGCATGGCAAAAATCCACTGGTCTGCCCTGCAAACATGACTTCGCGGCGTTCTTAAATGGCACTCGACGACATCCTTTACAACTCCACGAAATTCATGTTCATTGGCATATTGTTCATCGCGCGCAACTCAAGGAAACAGCGGTACAAATGGGTGTAAAGGTCCCTCGAGCTCTTCTCAGGGGTCTTGACAATGCAAACATCCCTGTACCTATTCCAATGGGAGGGATTCAGAACACCTACATCGAACGTCGACTCCCAGGTGATTTACTACTGAACGACCTCTCGGCGACGATCCTGCCACCTGTTCGACGGGTACGCGTAGGGCGGAAGCAAACAGCGCCCTCGCGCGCGGAAGCTGCCACCCTTATCAATGACGTGGCAATGGATTGGCCTGTCGCGCGCGCGGAAGCAGGTCCAACTCGTACATACGCGGCGCCCTCGCACGCGTCTATTCCATCGCAATCAACCAGTGAATTTTTGTCTGGCTACGTGCCACCGGGAGACATCATCGTACCAGTTGCTTCTAGCGGTCGCACCCAATCGGGCGGGGAAACTGTTCTCAAGAAACGCAAAGTCGTACCAGCTGCAGAGCAGCAATGCCACGGTTGCTGGCAATTTGGTCATCGCAGTAATAGTGTCAAGTGCGACAAGAACAAGGAGAAGAGAGTTGCAGCAGCGCTGTGGGCGGCGACATCGACATCGACAGAGAACAATACAGTTTCGAACTCGTTTCTAGGATCAACGCAAGGTGTATAGACATAGGTCTTGTTCGATGCTTTTGGACAATGAAATACTCATTTTGAAACACTGCAATGGACGAGAACAAGGACATTCTTCAAGGCAAACCTCTTTCGAACTGAAACTCACGTCGATTTGCTTTTGTTTGGACAAAGGTATCGTTTACAATGTCGATTTCAATGGAACATCGCTTCGAAACAGCTTTTGTTCATCTATACAGCAGTCGAGAACAATGGAATAACGTCTTGGAGACATACATCTCGATAAGTACTTATATCTCTCGCAAAGGAATCACCTACTGATCGAGTACATCATTTTTCTCCTCTACATCACACAAACATAGCTCTCGCAATCGTTTTATGCCCGTCTCCCCTTCCATCGCAAGCAGTATCGATATGGCTCCCAACGCAACGTAAGTATCTTTTTATTCCAATGATTTATTCCATTGCGATCGATCATCTGACTTTTCCGTTGGTTTGAATAGCCCTCTCTACACCCCCTTCGACGTCCCCAACGTTCTCGAGTTGGACGGGACCCTCGCTGTCCCGCAATGCACCATTTGGCCGGGCCGATACCAGAATTTCCAGCAGTGGTGCGACGACTGGAACAACGAGATCAACGCCGACTCCGATCTCGACAACGCACAGGGCCCGACCAAACGTCAGCCCAAATCGCCCGGTAAAAAGGGCAAGAACAAGGAAGTCCCCAAGTTTAGGGCTTCCGACAAAGCATACCGATGCTCCACTGGAGCGTACATCACCAGGATCGAGAAGCCCGGTCCTCAAGCTAAGGACGACAAGAGGAGTAAGCTTGCAGTGGTCTATTTCGTTGTTCGATTGCATTGGTTTAGATCGTTGATCGATTTCATTGCGCGCGTTCTTTGCTTAGTTCACAAGGATCTTCTCGACGAACTCTCCCTTCCGATCCTCCCCGTCCAGTGCCCCGCCACCCTCTCCGCCATGAACACTCCCATGGCTTCCGGTCGTAAGGATGCACCCGGGATCAACGCTGCATTGGTAAGTTCCATTGCTCGACTTCAACGATCTATTCCATTGATCGATTCCACTGAACTGACGCGTTGTTGTTTGCCACGTCATCAGGCCAAATATCGAGGAGGATGGCGACTCGCGTGCGACACCTGCCTCGCCCTTTACATCCCCGAAGTCTACACCGGTCCCAGTCAAACGATCCCCGTTGCGAAGATGAAGGCCCTCGGACTCAACAAGAACTATCTCACATTGGTCAAGTTAGTTGAGTTCGGGCCTTTTATCATTTGCCGCGGGTGTATCGGGGTGACCAAGGGCAAGGGGATGTTGCCGAGTTGTGGTCCTTGTCGTGTGGTCGGCGAAAAATGCAAGAAGGTCGATCCCGCCAACGCTATCCGAATGGATGACCCAACGGTCCATCCCATCGATCAAGCCCGCCGGGCCCTTACTATCATTCGGGACCAAGGGCAAATGCAACAGCCCGATCGCATTAGGATCGCCCAATACGGACTCGACTGTTTGCGCGACGAGATTTGTCACGGGTTGGAGAATTCCCCCGATAAACATACTAAGGTCTCGATCGATGCGATTGTTGCTGGGTTTGACGAGTCGGAATAGTTCTTTGTTGTATTCCATTGGTTTTGATTTTTTGTACTTAAACATTGCTACGTTATAATACAATCGTCCTTATGCAACAATTCACCGACTTTATTTCATCTGACAACTTCACCGATCGAATCCAACGGAACACAGTCGTGCGATGATACCATGCGATATTTCACTGTATTGTACCTTGGCGTAAAGCCATTGTCACATACTCCCGAGCTATTTGAAATGTAAAGTCGATTGCCGCCATAGTAGTAAAAGTTACCGCCACCAGATGAATTCTTTCGTAAACTGATGATAGGTCCGGTAGTAATCGACGATACCTTAGCCCCACCCATGCAACCACCATACGGAGACGGTAATTGTTGGTTTGTGGTATCATTCGGAGACTGGGGATGCTCACCACGCACCGACTGTTTGGACTTCGAGGTGGACGTCGATGATGCACGTTTGTTGCGACGGGACGGGTGGCCGGCGGAGTCAGTTGTTCGGCTGATTGTGCTCGCTCGTCGTCCGTATATGCGCGTCGACGATCACACGAGCAGCGAGCAGTGAGCAGCAGCCGCCTCCGCTTGCCTGTCACAAAGACGGGTCAAAGCGAGACCACAACCTTTTGCTTGTACCTCCTCGGGTCCACCTAAAGCCGTACAGAATAGTCAAGACCATGATCCTTAACCTCAAAGCAGACGGTACCCGGATACGATAGTCGCCACTCGAGCTGTTCCGCTCTCTCCTCGTCGTTTGTTCACGACTGCCTCGAACGACGTAGATCCTCGCACGACACACTGTTCCGGCAATCACCGGACGATTCTGTGGTCGTTCGCCTTGGTCAATCCCTCGACTTCGCTATCCCACCTGCATCTAAATCAGCATGCGTTGTTAGGACGATCGAAGTTACCCTCAACAACATCGCAAGAGTGGTCAATCGGCCGCCTCTGGACTACACCTCATCCGCACCCTAATACCCCACTGTCAACAACACGATCTCAAGCAAGCATGACCGATTCGTCAGCCTCCGTCTCCCCGCCATCTCGAGCTGGATTGAAGCAGCGGACAGTATGCGCCGCCATCCCTGTCGACCCTGTCAACCAGAGAGTCCTCATGGTGACGTCTCGCAAGCATGACACCAAATGGATCTGTAAGTAACACGTCCAACATCGGAGACAGAACGAAGTTCATCTGATGATATCTCCCTGACTTGATGAGCAGTTCCCAAAGGTGGTCACGAGAAGGAGTTGGGCGAGAGTTATGCCGAAGCGGCGATCCGGGAAAGCTGGGAGGAAGGTCAGTACCTGGTTCTGGCATTCGTCGCAAGGCGTCTCTTCCACTGAAACGCGTCCGACGTACACAGCTGGTACCCCAAGAGACTTGCTCGCCAGCGATATTGGTAACGAGGTGCACGTTGGGAGCAGCATGTCTGGTGACGGGGAGAGACGGATAGATTACCACGTCTTTGAGATCGAAGTCGATCCCGATGCACTATGTGACGACTGGTAAGTAGTAGTCCTTCACGAGTCAACCCTGACTTTGGTACACAAAGCTAATGCTTTCGTACGTTATAGGCCCGAGGCCAAAGAACGAAAGCGGGAGTGGGTGTCCGTCCCCGAGGCGTTGGCACGATGCCAAGCCTGGGCGAACGAGCGGAATACCAAGATCGACCTCTACATGGGGTTCAAGCAGTGTCGCGTGCACAAACGGTATCTCGATAGCAAAGGCGCGGAATCGACAAATGGGATCGAGGTGAAGGTTGGAGTAGGCACCGATCCCATCGCCGAGCCCGTCGTCGGCTCTGCTGAGCGGGTCGGTGGACGGGCGGAGGATGGCGAGGTCGTTACTTCGTCTGGATGAACTGGAACGTCGAGCTATAGAGATTTGTACACTACATCTTTTCTTGTACAACCACCTAATGTAAAACCTTCGCTCCTCCATATCTGATTGTCACACCGATTGCAACTCTTTCTATTGTGCTGAGACAGATATGCTCAGCGGTGAGATCTTGTTGGAGCTTCGTCTTGAGGCAATAGATCGTGGTGCATCAGCGATTCATAGCAACAAACGTTGAGCGATTAGGAACAAGGGGCGCAAGCGAGTGAAACGTGCCGTCACCAAAATGCATGTATCTGGATCAAGAGACCATTTGCGGGTCTTACGTTTCTCCCTTGTCTATCTCAAGTTCATGCGCTTTACGACGGCGATCGATTGGATTTTCAACATGTACAAGGCCATATATACAAGCATACGGGCCGTCTTTCCAGGCGGGAACACGCTCACTTGCCTCTTCTACTTCGGGTGTGTCGGCCGAGAACCGACCTGGTCCCGGACATTCCCTGAAAAGTAGACCTTACCCAAGACGAGAGTGTCTGTTGCGCAGTACGAGCAGTTTGACAGGTTTCCGCATCGACGGCTTGCGAGATTGAGCGGGTAACGGGTAAGGTGTTCTCACTGGTTGAGTAAATCCCTGTACCCGATCTGCTATCCGAAACGATAGAATCAGGGGAGCAGATCCTAAATCGCCGAGGCCGCTGCCCTCAACTTCCCGGTCACCTGTCTCATCCAAATTGTCATATGCTTAGCCAAACCCAAAGCATTCCATCATAAGCGCAAGGTAGACTGATAGAACAGTTCGACGACTGCTTACCGGTATCAGAGTGCTTCAAACCAGGCTCCAACTGGTCGCAATTGCAGCCTTCCAATGCACAGTTCCAAAGTTTCCAATTATCGAAACAACTGAGGTAAGAACATGTAACGTCAAATGCCAATCCGCCGGACAAGTTGAGTTCCGCAGCGCTCTGGTACATACTCCTCTTCCACATCAAGGTTCAGATCGAAGACATGGCCGTCCATGTTGGGCCTCTTGCTCAGCGAGATATCCACTTTGAAGCCTGACCCTAGACCAAGGTTGATGGATCCACCAGCCTTCAAAACGGGCGTCGTCGTATTTACGATCGACTTCACGCTCCCTTCATGTGAGGATTCGCCAATCTGACTAATCTTGTCGGTACATGCGTCACAGTTTCTTCTACCAATGTGATCCATGCTAAAGAGCCCAAGAACATTTCCCATCTCGTCTCGCGTGAAAACGAACCCGTATCTTCCCAGAGCCTGTTGATCCCATGGTCAATCGCTTCATCGGGGTCAGGGAGTCGAGAAATCATTTACCCCCAGAAGATACTGAAGATCGACTCACGACTATATCGCAACGCAACTCCGCTTTCAAGCGTCGTCGTTCTTTTATCCATGGTTGTAGCTGGATCAACAGTTCCAGGATCAGCCCCTTCAGCTCCGCTCGTTGGTGATCGCTGAGTGACGGCTCTGTAGATATTGCCATGTCGACGTAATGTTTGAGATTGAGAAATGTGTGGTTGAAATTTGATGTCTTGGTAGTGTATTGTTGTGAAGGAGATTCAGGGCTCAGGTGGATCAAACTGCATTACATGCATCTCCACAGGCCACAGGAAAGATGCGATACGGCTCAAGAAAACCTAGGGGAAATAACAAAGGATGTCGAAGTCGCACATATTGCGTGCTGCGCCTTCACGGAAGGCTTCCAACCGCAGTGCGGCATTTGTTGACAAGAAACTGCCATATGGTGGCGAATAGTCTTATCACGTCCCGCCAAGTGCAAGCCTATGTACAAACGTTTAGTCAGGTCAAACATGATCGTCGGCGATCGCGCGCCACCACACTGAAATGAGACTTCAACAGCGTAGCGCATTTTCATCAGCTTTGCCACGACTACCGTAGGCACTTGCAGCTTGATTCATGGTAAGCTGGAAACTTCGTGTCCGGACACCGGACATAGAGTTTAGACGAATGACGACTGCAAGAGTTATAGCCCCGGGCTGATATCTTGCTGGCAATAAGACGACCCCCATCCGCTTTTCTGCTCGGCAAGACGATCGATGATGGCTTGACAGAAGGAATCTGCATCCGCGGTCATATCTGACGTTACCGGATGAAACAGAAATTGAGCGGTAGGGTATCGAACTTCTTAACTGTACACAGGAGCCTCCACATGTCGATGACTACTTACTCAACACCATAGATCTATACTCTCATGTTTGTGCCATCAGACTTTGCAGATATGTATTTTCGAAGATGGTTTACAAGGATTCTATGTGTTTCCAGTGAGGAGTTTCCATCTGAAACGGGGGCTCTTGCTGGATGTAAACCGCCATTTTGTGAGAACTATGTCGTGACTATTCCAATTCTTACGATCATAGGATGACTTTATCATTAGAATTGAGGTCAGTCAATGTAATGCTGGTGATTCCGGAGTCAGCTATACAGACCACGCCTGATGACAGAATGGTTTCCGATAAATGGTGAGTCTCGTTCATTGGATGGTCTAATAACTTCCAAGCTCCGTCTCGATATTTGCCGAGGCCTTGATACAGATCTCGAGCTGATGACAGGGTTCTATCTTTTACTTGGGCTACTCAGAGGATTCGACGCGGTATTCATCTGACCGAATATTGTACATGAAGGCTGTGATCTTTTTCCGTTGTCAGATTGGCGGATCGGACGGAACCAAAAACGTTGCCTTCGCTGATCTTTGCCATGGTGGTCTGAAGATCGCTTCGATTAGTGGAGACCCTGGGTGTTTCGCTTGGATTGGAACATATGAGCGACTTGCGGTCAGCGGCAGTCAATTCGACACCTTCACCACGTGCGAATGAACGAGATTACTCGCTCGCTTACCTGCTAAAAGTGTCTCACTCAGATTTTGAACTCTTCAACGATACTAGTTATCACAGGGGCACTCAAGATTGCTCTGGATCGAGGTCAAGTTTCGCGAAATAGTTCAACCCATAGTTGCGTGGCAGCGTTCAGGAAACCGGAATCGGCACTGGTGGATTTATCGTTTGTGTCATCCATGCAGTATTCTGCGGAAGAGGCTGTATGAGAGACCGGGTTGGAGCGGACTTGGTGCGCCGACAGCGAAGCTAGATTGGTAAATGCTGGTGCTTGAAAATCGGATGTGACGATCAGAAGAACGGGGTTCTCCGGCAAGAGGAGCTATTCGTCTCAGCTGAGGGGACATTCGTGGCGATGTTGTCATTCGTCATTCAAAACTCTCGGCGAAAGACGAAGCCGCTGAGACAAAAGTAGCTATGAAGCATACTAGTATGTTCGTCTGCCCATAGTGAAGGTCAGGTACCGACAGTGGCCAGCGCACCTTTTTATCTTGCCGGACTGCCCGATATGGCTCGATCCGTCAGAGTTGCTACATAATATGAAGCTGTAGCTTTACTAGGGCCACTTCCACCTGGCGGTCGAAACCTAGGTTCGTTGACATTAGTCAGTCATGGCGCTCTCTAAAGAATCGTTTCGAAAATTCTCCATGACCATTTACTAATGTACATCTTCTGTTATTTTCCGTACAATTGTCCTTACACGAGCCGTGCTGAGAGAATGTCGTCCATTCCTCACCGTTGTCATCGATCGTCGGTCCGCTCCCATCGTTCAGTCTGTGGATTGTACCGGACTCTGGATTGATTGGAGAGAGAAGTCGGCTGTTGGCTGACATACTGCGCAGAAGGATTGTCAGCAGGATTATAAGTAGATGGTTGAGCGGGGCTGCCTGAATTGTAGCTTCCATACGCGGCTGGATAGGCGCCAGTAAACGTGTTGCTTCGTGAAACCGAACCCGAAGCGTACGTGGGCCAGTTCTGACCACTGGGAGTCATGGGACTGACAGGTGAGTCCGCCGCGTTGTGGCCTCGGTAATATCCGCTCGGTGCGAAGGTAGACTGTGCGGCTGGTGGGTACAACGATGGAGAGCCAGCGTCCCGACCGTAGTTCTGAAAAGACGCCTGTTGCGTGCCTTGTTGGAAGTCCGAACCCGGCGGGAATGCGTCTCCGTACGGGAGCGCGTGTTCTTGAACAGGAGTGAAGTAGAGAATCTGATCAGTTTTCAACACTTCGTTGACCCACTAGAGCTATCGGGGCAAGCTATTCACCGAGAGGTATAGCTGCTGCCAGTTGAGCTCTTTCTGTCTCATCCCTGAGACGCCTTGTTCTCCTAGCAGCCTCGAGTTCGTCAACAGGATTGGCGTAGTGACTTTGACCTTGAGGACCCCCCGTGTTACTGCTCGGAGGGTACGCAGTTGATGTGAAAGTGGATGGATCAAGATCTTGATGGTTCACTTGTGCCGCCGATACCCGAATCTGGATACACTGCTTTGAAGTCTCAGATATTACCCACGTGCTGATTCGAATTGCGTATGGTCGAACGTTCTGTCGGTCCCTGGGTCTGAGTTGAATATTGCGCCATTGCACCGGATTGGCCAGACTCCCCAACCAATCGTACCCCAACTTCATGTCTTTTGGTAGCTGGTCTTTCGAGACTTCAACTCGTTCATATTGATCTCCATACCTGCAGTAAAGTTTGAACTTCTTCGAATACCCTTGATTTACATCGTACGACACCAACCATGTACCAGGTTCCTGAGAACGAATTTTGTCAGGACCTACGGATATCTTCAGTTTGGACATCACATACGATAGAGTCGGCGGGAAGCATCCACGAGCCAAAAAGAGTATTTGTCGCTGTAGCGAGAATTTTTGCCCAAACCCGCGCGGCCTGATTTTCCTCGTTAGGATGATCCATGTTGAACGAAAGTCTTTGTCGTGAGGCTGTTGAAGGCAATATCTCTCAAGTCTTGGTTCTCGTTCAGCATATAAAGACCGGAACCAGACCTCTGGCCACTGCAGACCGAGTGCCTATTTATATGCGCTGTATGCTGTGGAACAGCGATACACATCGATTATTGTCACTTCGTCGTAACTGAAAGGATCGTATACCGCGTAGCCGGACAGGACAGCCTGAGGGGAAATAGAGCGGTCGATGTTGACGTATTATTCTTGAGTCTTCCTTTCACTTCATTGACTCACCGCCGTCGACCTCCTTGACCATCTTGAATTGCACTGCACGTAGCGCAGTGATTGACGCTAGCTTCTCGGTGGCGACAAAGGGTCACGCGCGAAAATGCCGATTCCTGCGTGATGCCTGAGACTGAATCCAGAAAAATGGCGAGTTGATTCGAAAGGAGCGGAATAAGTCATAATCTTGCGAGCAAGCGATTGTGTGATTGCAGGAGAAAGGTGGTCCCTTCGCCAACAGATCACTCTAGGCAGCTTCTTGAAGTCACGGCATATCTCGCCATTCTGATCATGTAATTACCTGCTGAGCCCCCTTTGTCTCTCTGGTCCGCCAGGGGGATAGCTAACGCCCGATGTCGAAATCAATCTAAGCGAGGGTTCAATTTCGCTGAACACAGCCCCGCTACATCGATGTCGCTATCGAGCGTGATCGCATGATGCCAAATTCATCATTGAAAGATGAGCGATATTGCAATTCCGCCATAGTAGAGGGGCTGGTCACTTGTTCGCCAGACGTTCTTTCATGAACGGGAGTGCTCCCGAGGTCATATCAGCATCATAACCAGCCATTGTATGCTAATATGGTGAGTCGCGCAGTTGGCAAGAGGGAGGAAGTGGAGAGGTTGCGCTTCATGTGCGGCTTATGATCATGAATCCTTACACAAGAATATGTCGGGATCAGCTTTTCCAACAAAGACCACTAGAATGACCAAGCTGATCGGAAAAAGAGATACCATCCTAAGTTTCCGAACAGTTGATCAATGCATAGACATCCACGTCACGCTAAAACAGACTATAAATTTTCTCCTTTTCTTCCCCTGACGCCTAAGACTGGAGCAACGGAATTACTCGTCGAGTTGAGAAGTTCGACGATCGTACCGATGTTACAGCTTCCGCCTGCTCTTATCAAGGTTTCAAGCCCATGCTCGGAGGGGCCTATACGGTCCCTGCGCGAACAAGGTATGGTGTGGGGAGTGTAGGTAAGGCTGCCTGTCTATCTGGAGCAGTGAAACAGGTAAGCTTCAGCTTCTCTGATTGGGACTCAACGAGATCAATCGGCGTGCTGGGACTCGCGAGTGACCGGGACGCTACCGTAATCGGAACTAGCGAATTCCGTAAGGTTACCTGCTGTCTCTGCGCGGGCTAAAAAAATGCGACGGATTCTGGGCCACCTGTTGAGCGCGATCTCCCTCTTCCACATCAATTTCCAAAACTTGCTCAAACTCCGCAATATCATTGTCTTGCAAAGTCTGTACGGTTGTGATCGCGAAATGCAGGGAAGTAATATCGCGCCTGTCCAGCTGATTCCATGCCACAAATATCCTGGTAGGTGCAATGCTTTGAAAATCATACAAGCCAGTCCTCGACGTTCAATACTTTGCTGACTTCCGGAGTAGTCTGTCTGAAACGGTTCGCCCGTGTCGCGCCACCAAGTTCTTCAGAAACGACAACGCCTTTGACCTCGACACGCCTGGAAACCGTTTCTCTCAAAAGATGAGCTTCCATCGACCGTTCTTCCGGAAGCCCCGAATAGTGTGTATTGGAAGTACACATCGTATATGTAGAAAACATACCACTCAGTGGTAGCGAGCAGGTGTGCTCTTATATTCCATCGACCATCTTGCAAGCGTTCAACACCCTCTATACCTGAAACCGATCTACTACTAGCCTCACATGATGAAGCTATAAACCATAGGATGATCGGGCACGTATCTTGTCACTCCATCTGAAAATTGTGTCGTACTGAGATATCGAGATCATGATACAAGAATTTGCGGCTGTCGTCCGGTACCTCAACAGGTAGACCGCGATAGCAATAATAGTTTCTCTCCCTCAGACTCCGATTCCTCTTCGTCGTCAGTCAGGCCCCAATCACCATTGTCGCGGGGCTTTTCTGCTCTCCTTCTTTCCAATCGCTCGTAGACAGCTTTATCCAGCTCCTCATCAAATGCTTCTTTGCTGATGGTGGGTAGAGTTGCAGATCTGGTAGGTTGCGGACTGATAAAGCTGATTTCGCTTGTCTGGGTGGACAGCGTTGAGGCTACGCCCGCGAAAACTATCATGGTATCGTCCCGTACGGTAACCTGCAGGACGGTTTGTTTCCCATCCTGCGTCATCTTGAATTCGAGAGTGTAGAGGCTCTTCCAACGATATCTCTTGTCAGACAGCGCGGACCGGTTAGCCCATACCTGAAAGAGAACATCTTCTTGTTTTTGGTCGTCAATCGTTTGTTCTTCTTGTCCCCCATAAGCCACAGTGAAATGATGCTTCGACGAGTATCTACGTTTGGACTTGTTGTACCGGATCGACCACTGTCCAAGATCCTGAGCATCGTCGGACATCAGCCTCTATGAAAGTAACGATAGAAAACGTCTGACCTACGACTATATCCTTCCTGTGTTTGTCACTCAAACCGCTCAGCAGCCGGGCACAAGCAAGAGCGACGGTGACCGTATCGACGCCAAGTTGCATTTTTCGTTCGTTACGGGAGTTATCATACATGTTGAGGGCAGAGTTAGCGTCCATTACTATGAACTCATTTAACTATCATCGACAGCTACCGCTTGCAGAAGCGTACGGAGGCTTATATACATTTGCGCAGCGCCTTGGTAATCGTGGAGATGGGGCTTGACGAAAACAAAGGGAAATCTTCTTTCTGTTTCATGCTCCGCCCGAAACGCCGCAGGCCAGTCAAAGTCATCGCGTGATCACGCCGAGCTATTCTTTCTCGGCAGTCGTTCTGCTCAAGGTTGCGGTCATCCCAACCATACGCACGCAATGTCACCTCTCGCTCGACGGACGACCGTCAGCCGATCACGGTCCCTCCCTTGTCGCATTTGTACCCCAGCAAGCTTCCCACAGCACTCTGATAGACAATATAGCATATTCCTTTTGATGATGGAAGCTACTGAAGGTATTTGTGGAGGTGCTCTGAACATGGTACCGGATAATGTAACAGACTATCCTTACTGCTGTCAGTCAGGATCTAAGCTGTATTGCAGATCGCGACCAAAGCTACAAGCTCGAATTCAGATTTCATTTATCCCTTGGCTATTCTTGGGAGGACATGCGTACATTGACACGTCGCAGCCTTTTCGTGAATACGGAATGCAGTCAGATAAGCAGCCGCGCATGCTTGTTGATCCACCTCAAAATCCTTAACAGGTTTTGTCAAGCGAGCATGTGATACATTCAAACACTTGTGCATGACCAGGTTCATTACAGCAAGGTGATTGTTGCCCCGAGTCCTTGAGGCAGTGCATCAGGATATCATGAACGGTTCCCACCCCTCGATATGTATTCCGAGAACTGCTTAATCTCGTCCTTGCGTATGTCGCAATCTCGTCGATCACCTTTGACCTTTGAGCAGGATCGCGTGTGTATCATCGCGTTATGTTCCGCCTGCGTGGCCACCTCCATTTGGACCTTCCTCGATTACGGGAGCTCGTACTGGAGCCTGGTTCCAATGATGAGTCATTCACGCTACTCGACGATGCTCCCCTATCTCCTCGGAAGAACCAAGACCGGGCTGGGTTACTCGACCGATATGACAATGAGGAAGAGAAACCAGATTCGGATGAGGGCCCTAGGGTTGAACTTGATGAATGGGGCCAATACGACGTGTTGGTGTGGGTAGAAGATCGAGACCCGGCGCCTAGTGTCCGCGTGCTGGCACTTGAGTCGGAGCTAGAGACATCGGACTTGGTCAAGGCAGCGCTAGAGGCTGCCGTACTGCTCTCGCTCGATTTGGCCAGCCGACGCCGGGTTTGTGTGTCCCTGACAGCCACTTCGAACGCATATGCATGGGAAGCCCCTCGTCTGCGTGGGAGCTTCTCATCTAGCAGATCCCGGCATAATTTACCCTGGTAGCCGTCCACTAGCCGAATATTGATAAGCATCCGACGAGCTCCAACTGAGAGTTTTGTGCAAAGATGAACGTCTAAAAAAGATGACAAGGCGAAAAGTTCCTGCTGGACATAAGGATCGTCCGCCTCCCGTCGTCTTTCCAAAATCTCGAGCCGTCTCTGTTCCTTTTTCTCTTCGTCGCTCAACTTCTTCCTCAACTCTTTCCTGATGATTTTGTCCACCTTTCTTTCTTCAGGGGTCATAGCGGCCAATCTTTCCCGCCGAGCCAGTTCTAACCGCCGAGCCTTTTCTGACAGGGTTACATCTGTTGAGCGATAGGGTTCGTAGTGGAAATGTGTATTTTCGAATTCTACATGTACCGAAGGCCTGGCAGATTGATGTCTGTATTCGGGATTGATGTCATGTTGCTGTACCGTCCACCGACCGCACTGTCCAATTGAATACGATACAATGTCTGAGCTTGAGAATCTGGATATCGAGAGGTTCAAGTGCACTTGCTAAGGGAAATGAGCTTACAGCGATTCCCTGAATCATGATGGGTAACTTAGCCTGAGTCCCTCCCGCTGGCGATAAATGTCGAGACCATCGACGCAGGATGCCTTTCACTTCGCTGTGGGTTATCATCATGACGGATGTTACGACGGTGAAGCCGACGGGTTTTCATCTCGCGAACGACGCTGTTTATTGGGATCGAATCAGCCGCAGTATGAGTAGTTTATAACAGCGGATATAACGTCGATACCCATCGTCCTCGACAGACACCTTAATCCGGGTATAGGCAGGTTTCGAGGTTTCGCCCCCAGCGCAAGGATTTGAAAGGAGAGGAAAGGGGCTGAAACGCGGAGATTCTCCGTTAGATCACGTGATTTTGCGTGGGGTGTGACGCTGTTCGGAAGCTGATTTTACATCCGGACTTGGCTGGTGACGTCAGGGGGATTTCTCGTCAGCGATCACCAAAAGCAATGGGAGAGGCCAGCAGGGTATATCATCAACCTCGATCTAGAGACATTCCGGAGATTCAGTTCTATCTATTCTAGTCAGCTGAACATCACAGTTGTTGAGTATCTGAAATTATGTCGCAAGTCAAGAAACAACCCATCGTCCAGGACGTGCAAGAGTCTGCCAAGAGGCAGGTCTCCGAGGTCGTCAGGGTCGGCGAGGATGCCGTGACGAGCGGAGCTTGGATGTACCCTATTCAGGCAAGTACAGGCCGCAATATGTCTGGTTTCCGGGGTTTTAGACTGACGCAAGGCTCATGTTTTGGCATGCTAACAGGGGATTATCTATACCATCTCCCGTAAGCATTCAGCCTGCAATCACCTCTATGCTCTGGACAACTGCGAAGCGGAAGCTCATGCTGATTTCATTCTGTCTCTCTGCAGATCCAAACCTGATGAAGCCTCTCTTCCCCGTCATCCTCCGAGCCGTCCTCACCTCGGTCGGAGTCCTGGGGGCCATGTTCATCTTCACCTACCTTCCTCAGGTCGCCGTGTTGGCTTTCGTTACCGGGCCTTTGGGTGAGTTTGATATTTCGCATGCCAGAGTGATTTCAGAAGTTGATGGAAGCTGATTACTATATGTGATGGCGTTGATAGCTTTCATCGGAGCCGTTCCCCTCGTTCTCGGAGAGAGCTATATCATCATCATGTTCCTCACCAGGACCTACCTGATCGGACAAGCTAGTACCGACCTTTTCGACGCTGTGAGCCCGCTCTTACCGCTATAACAATCTTTCATAACGCGTATCACTAACTCTGATGTCTTTCCATGGCGTAGGTCCTGCTCTCAAAGAACCACCGTGAGCTCGTCCAAAAAGGCCGACTCTCCTCGGCCCAGACTTCTTCCGGTGGAAAGATTACCAAGCTCGGCAAGGCCATCACCAAGCCCATCGGAGGGAAATGGTTCATGAGCGTAGACGGCATCGTCCGATACGTTCTCAGTTTGCCTTTGAACTTTATCCCTGTTGTGGGAACGGTCTTCTTCTTGGGCTACAACGGTCAGTCCGGCGCGATGTGTTTGATGAAGCGGCCTCGAAAGGAGGACTGATAGAAAAGATTCTTGTTTGTGTTCTGGAGTATAGGTTCCAAAGCCGGTCCCTCGTACCACGACCGTTACTTCCAGCTCAAGGGATACGACAAGGAGAAGAGGAAACAGGTCATCAACCAACGTCGAGGAGCCTACACCGCGTGAGTCCAGATCCCCTCTTAAACACCCGACGATCGTCCTCGCTATATCTCTCGTGCTGTTTCCACTTTTATGGCGACGTTACTGACATCGTCTCTGTCCTCCGCTCTGACAGCTTCGGAACCGTCGCCATGGCCCTGAACATCATCCCCATCGTTTCGGTCGTGTTCACCCTGACCACCGCCGTCGGAGCTGCTCTCTGGGCTTCCGAGCTGGAGAACAAGAGCAAAGGCAAGACCGGTTCTGCCGAGGTGGAGAGGGAGACTGAAGTCACGCTGGGTAATGATTATGGAAAGAAGGAGGTTGGTGGGAAGAAGGAGTTGTAAAGCGCACGCCGGGAAGAAAATTCACGACAAGTAGAGAACAATTCGGGGTGGATACGGGGGTACATCGAAGTTGAAAATGGGAGAGGGGGGAAGGGAGAAATGGGATATATTCAGATATAATTTCTGGTCAATGATACATGAACCTATGGATCCAGGGCGGACCTGGTCGATTCGATATTGGATCAAAAGCAATATATAATATAAAAGCGGTGCTTTCCGTCTGGATTGAAACGCGGTACTTTCGAGTTGCTTTGAGTTGTTGCTTCATGATCCATGAACGTCTGATCCGTCTGAAGAACAGACGAAAGTGTTCAAGGAATTCAAGGCTGGTATACTGTAGTTTGACGACGTGCGATCTGAGCGTATATACTCGGACTGAGCGCGACCTCCGCGCTATCACGCTAATTATTATTGCTGAATTGCTGAGCGAGCCCCTACCAAGTGACATCTCGCAAACCCGCACAACTCGCACCTCGCATCTTGACAACCTTCTTACGTTGATCACTCCCGACAACAACGAAAGAACTCTACCAGACTGAACGACCATCCTACACGGGTTCAACATGGCCGCTGTACAGGATCCTACCCAGATGGCCCTCTTGGCCGTGAACGCCCTTTTTACGAACCCGGATAAAGAAGAGAAGAAGAGGGCGAACGAGTGGTTGTCAGAATTCCAACATACGGTGAGTAGCCAACCTTGCATGACACAACGAGTATGCTAGATAGAAGCATGAGATGGTCCTGCGTGACATTGTAAGCGAAGCGTCCGGGCGAAACAAGCTGATGCTGTTCATTTCTACATCTTTTCGTATCCTTCAATCGGTTCGACTTTTCTCAAAACCTCGACTCTCCCGATACATAGAACGAAGCATGGCAAACATGTCATACGATCTTGACGTCAGCAGAATCACCCTTGGAAGCTAGGATCATGGCTGCACAGACTCTCAGAAGCAAGGCAAGTCGATTGACGATATGGTTGCATGTTCCTCTTCATGAGGCGATCAAAGGGAAGATGTGGATGGCGGTCGATACATGGAACAGAGATCGATCAGGCCTGCTTGATTCAGCTCAGTAGCGCAAGATGAACGTGAGAACGATAGCTGACTTGTCTTTCTTCTCTTTCTCCTTTTGATACAGGTGGTTTATGATCTCTCTCAACTACCCGCCGACTCTCTACCAGCCCTACGAGACTCGTTCATCCAATCCCTTACGACCTTTTCTTCGCCTACCGCACCTACTGGCTCTCGAGCCATCGTCACCCAACTATGTCTCGCCCTCTCCGACTTGGCTTTCCAGATGCCAGAGTGGAAAGATGTTGTGCCAGGTATGATCGAGAACTTTGGGACGAGGGTGGAATGCGTAGAGATGCTGTTGGAGTTTTTGAAATGTCTGGTGGAAGAAGCTGGGAATGGGAGGATTCCCATCAGCGTGAGTCGGACCTTTGCTTGTCATATCGTGCGGCTTCGTAGGCTGATACATCGAATCCAAGTAGGGCCAGCAAGCGAGAGATCGGTCCGAGGAGCTATTGACGAGTCAGACGGAACGGATACTGGGATTACTAGCGATGTATATCAATGCTGCGGGTGAGTCGAGCCGATCCGACCACACGAGTCAGCGGGCTCAGACGGTCCTGGTCTTGAATCTCCAGGCGTTACCGCTCGACTGCAGGGTTTGGTATTCGAGACCCTACGTAGCTGGCTCCAGGCTGGTGAACTTGATGCGACTCTCATCGCCAGGTCGCCGTTGTTCGCGTTCGCCTTTGACGCCCTGGGCAACATCGAGCTATTCGACCACGCCGTCGATGTCGTCTGCGACCTGATCCACGAAACTCAGGAGGTGGAGGACAACGTCGAGGTCGTCCAACTGATCGTACCCAGAGTTATCGCTCTGCGTGACGCCTTTCACCAGGCCGTCTCGAGTGAAGAAGACGATTCGGTTCGAGGGTTCTGCCGAATCTTCACCGAGGCCGGGGAGACCTATCGTCAACTCATCCTCGCCCATCCGGATACCTTCCTGCCACTCGTCCAGGTCATCGGAGAATGCTCGGCTTATCACGACCTGGATATCGTGCCCATCACGTTCGACTTTTGGTGGAAACTCGCTCAAGCTCTCGGCAAGCAAGCCGAGCACGGTGACAATCCGGCATCATCCCAATATGCGCCTTTCATGGAGGTCTACTCGAAGCTTCAAGAGAGCATGACCGTGCATCTTCGGTTCCCAGAGGACGAATCCAGTCAGACGGCCGAATCACGAGACGAGTTTAGGGCGTTCAGGCATCGAATGGGGGATACACTCAAGGACTGTTGTTCGGTACTGGGGGCAAATGTGTGCATGAAGCGGGCGTACGACTCTGTGATGGCAGCCTTGCAAAAAGGTCCTGCGGCCTCGTGGCAGGAGATCGAAGCACCTCTGTTTTCGATTCGTGCCATGGGTGCTCAGGTCGACCCTTCGGACGATGCGGTCTTGCCGATGATCATGGACATGCTACCCGGGCTACCCAAGCATACTCGAATTCAATACGCAGCCATCCTCGTCATCTCCCGCTACACCCACTGGATCGCCGCTCACCCGCAATACCTGCCGTTCCAGCTCAGCTACATCTCGGAAGGCTTCAGCGTGACCGAAAACGACGTCTCGTTGGCTGCAGCGATGGCCATGAAGTTCATGTGCCAGGATTGCCAGGCACATCTCGTGCCCTATCTCGGGCAACTTCATAGCTTTGTGACAACCGCAGGGCTTTCTTTGACAATGGAGGAGAAGATCGACGTCGCCGAGGCCATTGGATATGTTATCGCTTCGATGGGTCAAGCCGAGGCGGCCGAAGCTTTGCAGAAGTTCACTCAGCCGTTGCTGGAGATGCTGCAATCGGCTACTGCAGGACCGAGGCTGTTGACACGGAACGAGCTGGATCCTGTCGTCGGTAAGCAGGCTATGAGCCGCACGTCATCGTTGCAGCGGCGTCCAGCTGAATAGTACGCTTGCTTCTACAGGCGCTCTTGATCAGCTTGAAGCCTACATTGTGAATGTCGACCCCATCGACACGTTGTCTCCCGGCTGTATCGCTACTCCAGAGGCCGTGTATGGGATCATCGAAAACCTGCTGGACAAGTACGCATCATCCTATGGCATAGCCGACAAGGCGACTCGACTATTGCGCCGGGGTCTTGGTTTCTTTCCCTGGACGCATATTCAACCTCTAATTCCGAGACTTCTCGCTCGGATGATGACATGCTTCGAGGCCTCCGGACACTCGAGCTACATCTGGCTGGTCGACCGGACCGTGTCGTTGTTCGGGGAACGGATGGGGGTACTGGCCGGGTCGTCCGAAGGGGCCGCTTTGGAGACCGCCTTCACCGCGGCTTTGGAGAGGATGACTACTCAGGTCAAGAGTCTGGAAGTTCAGCAGGGTGCAACCCAGATTCCTGATAGTGAGTTGCATCTCGCGTGACCTCGTTGCAGCAACTAGCACTAATCGTTGGTGGTTTCATTTGTTCAGCACTGGACGACTATATTCACGTTTTGCGCACCTATCTCAAGCGACTACCGGCCGTTCTGCTATCATCACCCTCACTGCCCGTCGCATTTGACCTCACATTGGTCTCTCTCACCTTGCCCGCACCCGAGATCGTTATGAACGCCCTCGAGACGATCGTACGTTTGCTAGAACCGGGCTCGCAAGAAGGATCGCCATATCAGGCCACCATCACCGCCGCCGCCAAAACTTACGGTCACAAGATCATCACGATCGCCATCAACGGCATGGTACATGAATACGTGGAACAGAGCCAGGACGCGATCATCGACATCCTCAAGGAGTTGATCAAGCTGTGTCCCGCCGAGGCCCGAGCGTGGACGTTGGAAGCGGTCCAGGGTTTGCCTGGTCACGTCGCACCCGTGGCGGACAAGCAAGACTTCCACAACAACCTCGAAAAGTACGTCTCGGTCCTGCAGTCCTCTTTGAGATCTTATGCTGATATAAGTCGTCCTTTCTGCAGGGTCTTCGCCGAGACCAACCTCGACCTGATTAAGCCGGCTATCCGGATCTTTTTCCGGTCGACGCGTAGAGCCAGGGATCGCAAGGAGCGATTAAGATCAAGTTTGGGCAATGGGGGGGATCACTAGATGGATATTTGCGGTAGGGACCCCAGAAAAGAAGCATTGTTGCGCATCAAACCCGTTTTCTAGATCTTATTTTTGTATCCTATAATGATGGCATCATCGGACAGACGCTCAACAACACATCGATTTCACCATGGAAGGTCGTTCACGTCAGCACTCTGGGCTCTGTGACACCTGGCGGCCGAAAAGCAGGGGACGACGATCGCTTCATGGGCAATTCACAATCGATGCGACCTGGGTTTCATGAGGGCGAGGAGGGCGGGGTCGCGATACAACCTTTGCTTCCTGCCGTACGGACATGAGAAGCGGCTAGCTGTTAGGTACCGCGCCAAGAATACAAACGGTCGATCGCGTTCAAACTTTATCAGCCCGTATTGCTAGTGGTTGCATAGACGAGCGCTGGGCTAGTACGTACCTAGCAGCTGGTAGAAGATTACATGGTTACACGATCACATGATCACATGAACCCTTGGCTTTGACCCAGCAAAGAGAAAGAGAGAGTGCCGCACCGTTTCGGGTCGTATCGCCAAGGTTTGCGCTCGCTTGCCTCGCTCGGATAAGCTGATGATCCACCTGTGGTGTTACAGACCAGCGCCACCGAAGCCTCGGGGAGACGATCATGTCACGCATCTTGTATCACGCAATCCAGCGGCAGCATCGCCACTGCGCAAGGTCGATCTCCCGCATCTTAGATCTTAGATCCTCCGTACCTGTCTATCTGTTTGCAGATCGAGTTTCCACTTCCATGATGGAAAGTTCGTTCGCAGAGGTTCCTGCAATACATGGTGAACGGTGAACTCGTTCACGTATGGCACGAACGGAATGCCATGCCCGACCTCGCTCGACCCACTAGTGCGGTTCCGTAAACGGAGGCTTGATACGGTCAGGGCAGGAAGCGGGCTGACGAGAACGGTGGTGTCCCCCCCCGGTCGATCTTCTGGCCTGGTCGCGTGTGCGCCCCGAGATGAATCGAAACAGGCTCATAAGAACGGAGTCAAGGAGGCGTGAACGAAAAGGTCTCACGGGACTCGCCTCGTCTTCCCTCTTGCTCTTGTGACATCCTGCTGGCTTCATATCCATCTCGATCACGAGATCACACGCACGCGCGGGTAGAACGCTCGATGGGTTACTACTGACTTGGTCCCGCGCTGATCATCCTGCTGTCCTCCTTCGAAGTTGTTCATATGCCGTACCTTGATTATGCGATTCTCTTCCGACAGCCGAGGTCGAGCACGGGAACACGAACACGGGGGCCTTCCAGCCTCTTTCGATAGCGCAAGGAGCCTCCGTCGTGGGAAGATGCCCACGAACATCCATTGGCCATTGGTGGATCCGCAGAATTTGTGTCGGCTCAACTACCTACAGGGCAGCTGCTCCCGCCTGTCATCCCCCCCTCCTTGCCATGCTACACCGCCACCCTCGACTCAGGGGAGATAGGCTTTCCATTTGACGAGGGCGGAAGCAAGCGCAGTTATCGAACCGAGAGTTTGTTCGCTCGAATCGATCTACCTGTAGGCCTGTAACAGGTCCCAACGCTCAAAGTATATGAGGACAGGTCGAGGATGCTCGAGAGATACCATCCTTCGGGGGTTGTGTAGGACGGCCTCTGTCAAGCTTTGTACCTCGAACCTCGAAGTATCCTCGACCTCAACCTTGATTTTACGAGCAATGATCTTTGAAACACCTCGCCCTTGCCATATCATCGCGCTCCCAACGCCGATGGACGAGGACGACCTCGACCTCTCCTGCCCTCCCGCACCTTACCTTCCATCCTGTTCCAACTTTCACTCGCCGAGCCCAGTCTCGCTCTCGAAACATCGGTTCCGCTTCACACCACCGCTCGACACCGACTGCGAGACGCCCGTTTTCGAGCAAGTCTACACTGGTGAATTAGGGTTGGGGGGAAATGTGCTCGGCCTCTTCATCGATGAGAAGGATATGGAGAAGGGGGTGCTTCAAGCTGCCATTGAGCGGATAGAATACGACTCGCGGTATTCTTCGGTCTTTGAGGAAGAAGACGAATGTGAGCGTGACTGGGTCATACACGATCAACGAGTTCGCCCAAGAAATTAACGTAACCCCGTCTGAACTCTAATAGACGATATCTGCTACGACCTGAGCAGTCCCCCTTCCTCACCACCCGCGCTCATCCGGCGCGGATCCGGGTACACCTCATCCGACGTTTCATCGACCGGCGAGCTCTCTCCACCGCTCTCAACGTCTAGATGGTCCAACAAATCCCTTGCCTGCGAAGATCTCAAGGATGATGTCGAGATCTTACAACATGGCATGGAAATGGACCGGGACATGCGCTCGGACGAGGAGGAAATCTCGTTCGACTCGTCTTCCAACTCCATGGTCTGGCGGATCCCGGCCTACCTCCGCGAACCCGACTCCTCCTGCACCTCATCGGCATCGACACCATCCTTCTGCTCCCTCACACCAGTACCTTACGATACCATGTACTCGTACTCGACATCGGATGCCTATCCCGACGCCGAACATGCGCAGAACCTCTCGACATCGCTTGAGAGCCTGTCGGTCCCCTCTGCATGGAGTCGTCGACCAGATGGAGAGGGACCAGCCAAACGGAGGAAGCTGGAACATCGTTCGGCCAGGATCATCAACGGGTCTCTCTTCTCATAACCACAATCTCATTGCGCTTGGCACCAGTCAACACCGGGTAATATCTTGTAGCATACTATCATTCGTATCAGGGCTTTTCGTTGTTTTCGGTTTTCTTTTGTATCTGGGCTGTCAGGTTCTTTGCATATACACCGCATTTTTCTTTGTAACCACCTTGTATACTTTATACCCATCATTTGACACAACATTGTTATGCATCCTTCACCTTTTGGGTCGTCCTCGATGCAGGTTGCCCCTATCTCTTCTAGAGCTTCGGCCATGTCCGAAGATGACATACTCGTATTCAACATCACAACCCCCCCCGGTCCTTCTAGTCGCACCGATGCTTCACAGTCTCGAGGTCTCCACTACCACCGCCTGATGCTCCTACGCTTTCCCAAGAAGACTGCACTTGAGCTTTCTGCCACCCGTTTGATTCGTCGCAGGTGTTTCACCGCCCGAGTTGGCACCATGTCGACTACCGCCAAGGTCGCCATCTGTCAGATCTGTTCTACAGACGACGTCCAATACAATCTGGCCATCTCCAAGGACATCATAAGGCAGGCTGTCGGTGCTGGAGCCAAGGTAAATAAGACTCGCCAATCATCATGATCCGAAGCTTATGCTACTCATACGAGAACAGGCTTGTTTCTTACCCGAAGCCGCCGACTTTATCGTAGCTACCACCGAAGCATGTTACGACCTCTCCCAACCTCTCTCCAACCACACCTATACTCGAGGACTACAAGATCTAGCCAAAGAGCTCAATGTCTGGATCGCATCGGGAGTGCATGAGCTACCGGGTCCGGAGGACGATGAAGCGATCGAGAGCGAGAGCAAACAAGGGAAGAAAGTGTTCAACACGTATGTCGCAATCGATCCGCAAGGAGAGCTCGTCACGAGTTACCGCAAAGTGCGTATCGGCGACGATATCATGGTGATGATATGTCTAAGAAGAAAGCTGAACCGAATTAGAGCACAGATCCACCTCTTCGACGTAGCACTCAAAAACCCCACCGCTCCTCCCCCTCCACCCAACCCGGACGGCTCCTTGCCCTCTATACCACGTCGTGGAGAATCCGAAAGGATGCTCGCAGGTAACAAGATCCAAGACCCCGTAAACATGGGCCCTGGAATAGGAAATGTCGGCCTGGAGATCTGCTACGATCTCCGTTTCCCCGAGATGCACGGGATTTTGGTAGATAGGGGCGCTGGGACGTTGGTCTTTCCTAGCGCTTTTACGTTGAAGACGGGTCGGGATCATTGGGGTGAGTCGACGAGTCGAGAATGCTGTAACAAACCCTGTTCGTCGAGTTGATATATCCCTGCTCTTCGCAGCCACTCTTCTTGTAAGTCAACAAAATCGACCGCAATATCGTCAAGAATTCCGCGATCTCAATTTGTGATTCGATCTTGTCTCACAGCGAGCCGTGGCGATACAGTTTCAAGTCCACGTTCTGGCACCTGCACAAGCCGGCACCCACAACGCGGGCCGAGTTAGCTGGGGCGAATCCCTAGCCTTTTCGCCTTGTAGGTGATACCTTGCAAAGGTCAATTCATATCGGCTCTACACTGATATATCTCTTTTTAGGGGGAGCACCGCTAGGAAGACTAGCAAGTATCGACGACTACGAGAAGCGGGGAGGTGATAGGAGTAAACCGATGCCGAGCAGTTTCTTCTTGATCGACATGGATCAGAAGCTGATAAAGTGAGCTTTTGCAGTCTTGGATCAGGAGTTGTATCTAACGCTTTGCCTTTGCACAGTGAAACGAGGGATCAGATTCCGCTCTCATTTCAAAAGCGTCGTGATGGTGAGCTGTTTCTCAATCTCAGATGACATTGATCGATCGTCGCTGAGCTGTTCCGCCCGCATGCTAGTATATGGCACAATAGGCCCTCGATAACTAGAATACATTGTCGTGTCGTGATGCTATCAATCTTGTTCCATCTTGTCATTAGCTTGCTCTTCCTCGGCACCGTCATCCACGACAGCCTTGGCCTTTTGGTCATCTGCCTTGGCAGTCAACTTGGTCTGATGATGCGCGCTGGTGTCCTCCTTGGTCAATTCTCGGAGCGCCATGGTAGCGTACGAGCTCGTGCCCAAGGTCAAACTCAATTGCAAGGCGGCGAATTGAGCGTCGGGCTTGTTGAGTTCGGGTGCAGGCATGCCCAGCAACTTGTCCTCGTCGGACTGGGTAAGGGAGACGTCTGGATCGTCGTATCGGAGGTGTTGCCACGAGAGGTGCCCTGGCATGTGGATGATCTTGCGGTAGGATCCTTCCAAGGAGTACTCCCTTCAAATCCAGGTATGTTAGCACGAACACATGTGGCGAGACACTAATTGCACTTACTTTTGGTTCCTCCTCATCTTGAGCGGATCCAATCCGTCCTCCTTCATGATCGCTTGATATCGCTCGAACAAGTCGCCTCCGGGGTAAGTGATGTCGTAACCAGGCAAGGGGATGATGACATCGGCCAAGGTGTAGTTGGCGAGGTCGGCCTCTTTGAGGACCTTGACTTCACTACTGGACGATGTCTGCCAGTTGCGCTTGGGGTTTCCTCGGTACGACGATGGTTGGGCTGCGGGGCGGGGTACGAATTTCGATACTCAATTTCAAGCTATATGAGTCAAGCCGGCGACAAGCAGACTCACCATCCTGACCCTCCCCCTCGAGGCTCTTCTCCTCGGCGAAAACGAGATCACCGACGATAGGGCTCGTCGAGTTCATCTTGATCCTCTCCGAGACGATCAAGTTCCAGACATAGCTCTGATAGGCGTGCACATAGATGAGACGGAGGTTTCGGGGGATCTACGACATTGCCATAATGAAGTGAGCATAATGCGTGCTGGGAAGCCCGGACCGACGAGAACTCACGTTCAGGAGCCCTCCATAATGGTTCCCCGCCTCCTGATTCGGCCTGGCCCAAAACTCCCAGATGGCCCGCTCCGCGGTGTTCCTCCTCGGCATGAGTTTCAACGCTTCTTCCACATCACCGCGTTCCCACCAGGCTCTCCTTGCCGCATCACAATCGGGATGTTCGCCCGGTCGTCGGGAAAGGAGCATCTCACAAGCTTCCTTCCATTCCCCCTTGAGAAGCGCCAATCCGACAGAATGCGTCGACACCGAGGCTGTACCGAATCGTTGCATACCGTAATAGTTGATGAAGCCGCGAGATTTCATGGATTCCATGATGTTGTCGATCATCTGCGGACTTTCAGCCTTGACGTTCCTATGTATAGCGGAAACCCCATCAGCGTGGTTCCCAAACCGACATTACGGCCAAAAGTGACCCTTACCTGAGAGTGATGGTGAAGTGATTCCCCTTCAACATCCCCAACTCCAGATACTCGTCCGAATACCTGAGGTCCCCAATCCTAACTCCTCTCTCCCCCCTCTCTTCCAAAGCCTGCTTCATCGTCCTGCCCCCATAACTCAACCCATTGGCAGCTTTCCAGATCTGAGCCAACTTGAGCCCCTTGCGCTGGATACAAACTCGCTGGACGGTGATCCCCCTCTTATCCTTGGTCCCGCAGGTAGAGATGGTCTTGCCGTCCACCCGAAGGATACGGGAGATGTGGTTCAAGCAGTCTTGCGTGTCCCTGTTGGTCTTCTGGAGTGTAAAGTGGATGTATTTGGGGATCTTTGGGGCGTCGGGGTCGTTGTCATTACGTTTGGGCTTGGGCTTCGAAGCTCCGCCTTTTGCGGCCCACTTGATGGCGATCCGGCTTGATCCTTGTTCCCCAGCGACTTCTCGCGAGAAAGTCTCGAAAGTGCCGGTGAAGAGGGATCGGATGGTGTTATGGATCTCGGTTCGTTTAGCCTTGTCCGTGATGACCTGTTCGCAAATACGGTCATGTTTAGCTTTGGAGATGGAAATCAAGGCAGCTGGTTAGGACAAGGCGGTATACGGCGACTCACATCCGACAAGACCTCCCGTTCATCCTTGATACGCTCCATATGCCCACCAACCATCCCACCCCGTCCCCCTCGAACTCCTCTCCCTCTGCCCCTCCCTCGATCCCTCCCCTGATTCTGATACTTTTCCCTCCCGCTAAGCAAGACCACGGGCTCTCCATTCGCAGCCTCGTTCATAGCCTCTTCTTCCTCCTTGGCATGATCCCTACGTTTCATCCCGCCCCATCCTCCGTCAGAGGGGCGTGCAGCTTCGGGAGGCGGTCGGGGAGGGGTACGACCTTCTAGTAAGAGGTCGTGCAAGGCGGTGATGGCAATAGACGGGAGGAGGGGGAGGAGAGCACGGGTGGTCGAGTGGGTCCATTGTTTGTTTCCAGGGAGTCTTTGAAGCTCGATGGGAAGATCTTCGGCCGAATCCTCAGCTGCGACTTCGGGTTCGGCCTCGTTAGGTGCTGGCGCTTCGATCTCTGCCGGTGCCGGTGTCGTTGTCGACGTCGAAGCCTCAACGGTAGCTGGCTCATTTCCAGCCTCTTCCTCTTCGACGAGCGTGTCCTTTTCCTTCTCCTCGGGTTTCTTCTCCTTAGGCTTGTTGAACGGATCCTCCGGCATTCCCATCTCTTTTAGATGTACGATCTCCCCCTCGGTATCCACCTCGTAAACCATGAAATCCTCAAACCTCTGCTTCACGATCCCCTCAAACTCTCCTTGCTCCCGGCTCAGGTACTCGGATATCCCTACATCCTGCTCACGCAAGTGATACTGCCCGTCCTTATCGAGGATCCCTACGAGGCCATCTTGGTTGCAATACTTGAACGTCGAGGGTGGTAGGCTATAAACCGAGGTAGGGACGGCTGGCGGTGCGGGAATGTCGTCCAGCTTGATACGTTTAGCAGAGGGGTCCTCTTCGCCCGTCGGGGATGGCGATCTGGCCAAGGGTTTCGATTCTGTGGACATGATCGTCGTGTGCGTTTACAAACTTGTCCGTGGTAGATGAATGTCCCCGACCGAAAGTTGCATGAACTTGGCCTGAACTCTTTCGCAACTTTTTCCGTGTTGAAACTTTTAAATTCCACAAGTTTCGCAACTTTCTGGTCGATCACACTACTGAATGCGGAAGCAAAACTCGTCCCTTTCGCCGGAACACTGACTGACTCAAGTGGATAGATGCAATCTGAATATCACATCGCAAGAAGCTCGTCAAGTCACACGCAAACAAATTAAAAAGAGGAACAAACGAGTCATGTGGTCGTGCGTGGTACAATCAATCTCTCTACCGGGAAAAAAGCGGACTAACACCCTTGAAGACTGTTCTTTGGCCACCTGAAGCCTTTACCTTCGTCGGTCTCGAGGTACTGCAATGTCCGAGACGAAAAATCAGTTCCCCGTGCAGGAGCCGATACTAAGAAAGGTGAAGGTAAACTTACGAGATCCCAGGTGGTCAAATTTCGGTTGTTGTAAGCCTCGGCGTGTCGCGAGATGTAGCTAGAAAAGCGAATCGACACATTCCCTAGTCAGCCTCTGTCCACTAGTCATCCACGTTGCTGACCCAAGTTCACTCACTCTTGAGTTGGATAATCATCCGGATCACATCCAATGTTGATCATATCGGTCCGCTGGTACACCCGCACGTAATCGATGTACATGTAGTTGGGCTGAGACACGAGCAAGAAAGCGAACAACGATGTCAGCTTCGAGCGACTTAAACACAACTAGGACGGGCGGGTCGACTCACGAAATCGAGGTTCTCGAGGTCGACATACTGGAAATTGTTCGACATTCCTACAAGAGCGCAGCGTAAACGAAGTTTAGCAAAAGGACGCGATTCATCCTATGGTGTCTGCCCCGCCCCCGAACTCACCAAAGTTGAGGATGATCGTCATCGGTTCCTCAGGAATCGGCCTCTGGCTGATCCCGACCCTCGGATTGGCCCCCGTCACGCTCGCCTTGACGTTCCAACTAGGTTTCCCCGAACTGACCCAGGTGACGTACCCGTTGTCCCTGTCGTTGGGATCACCGGTGTATTCGAACCCGTACACCCCGAACCCGCCACCTTGGGATCGATAGTTGGTACGGTCCGTGTTGACGAGGCACGAGACGGCTTCCTGGTAGACACCTCCGACGTACGAGTTGAACTGCATCTCGTTCGGGTAGTACAAGGTGGCCGATGCCGAGGTATTGTCCCACTGGTAAAAGTCGTCGAATGGCGCCGTCTGCAATGACTGCGAGACTTCCCCGATGGCGTCGGCAATGTTGATCTGAGCCTCGATAATGTCGATCTCGGGAGAACCACGGCCCTTGTTGACGCTCGGACCCGGGTGGTCTTCACCGGGACAAGTACAAGCGCTCCATCGTTGACCGGGCAAGAAACTGAGGACACCGTCGTTCGAACCCGTCGTCAAAGCCGCGGCAGGGCCAGTGCCGTTGATCCAGGTCTGATTGGGCAGTGTACCGACATCGCAAGCGTCGTACGAATAAGGCCAGGTTCCCTCGGTCGTGGCACCGTATCCGGGTCGTCCGAGCTGCCGAGCAAGCGAGCTCAAAAGTCAGCTGATGCTGTCCGAACCGATCGTCTTGACCTCTCCAAGACTCACGTTACCCATGGTCCAAGCACCAGGCCAGAAACCTCCCACCCGAGTGTTTCCAGGCAACTGTACCGCGACTACCCCAAAAACAATCCCGTTCCCATTTCGATAAGATCAGCTACACCGCTCTACTCCAGCTTGTTCTCTTTTCCCGGAGCTCACCCTCGATATAAGCGTTCTTGCTGAAACAAAACTTGTTCCAACTCTGCAACATTCCACTCCGGTAATCGAATTCGTGCGTGGGTTCTTGCCTCATCTCGATGACGAGCGCGCCATCCTTGGTGGTGATCTGACCGGGGTCGTACCATTCCATGTCACCGGTGGGCCAGTCTACGAATAGCATGCGCAGACGAGGTGAGTTAAGAAGTGTCAATTCATCCGGAACATTTCAAAAAGAAAAAAGAAAAAAACGAGGTAACCGGGCACAGGTCGAAACTCACAGTGCAAATCGACAGCCTCCCAGAACGGATCATCACCCGGGTAAAACGTCCTCCCGTCCGTATTAAACTCGTCACTGAAGACCAACTGATAATCCTTCCCATCGAACCCGGTCCTGGCCATGACGTTCTCCGGCGTATCCTTGTCTATCAGACTGGCGAAATCCGGCATCTTCGGGACCTGCCCCGTCGCATTGATTCCACCCAGGTTGAACCCGGCCGTGTTCGCTCCGTTGGAAGCAAAGTGGTCTTTGTAGAATACGATGATGGGCCAACCGGCGAACAGGGTGATCAGGGCGCCGAGGAGGACAAAGATGGCCAAGACGTTGATCCAACCACGGAGCGACCAGGGGTCCCAGTGATAAGTATCGGACACACCCTTTGGGTCCGGAGTATGAAGAGCGTCGTCCAGGTCGTCTTTCCCGTTATCCCAGAGCATATAAGTGGTCGTGGCGCTATCCTGACGAGGCGTAGCAGGTGCTTTGCCCTGGTCGTAACTGAGGTTATGACGATGCCCGGACACTCCCGCTGCCGCACCCGCCCCGGCACCAAAGGCGGCGCCGGACTTGCTCATGCTCATGCTATCGAACGAGGAGGACGATTCCTTGCTGGGGAACCTGGACGGACCGGGTCCGGACGCGGCGTATTGAGATTGATTCGATGCGCCTGGGGGGAGCGTGTACTGCGCGATGGAAGCACAATCAGAACCACACCGATCATTAGCTCTGTGTCCTATAGCGTCCCTCTTCAATCTGAAAAGAATGAAGTGCCCAAACGCGGGGTACTCACAGCATAAGGCCCATACCCCGCTCCGACCTGTCCCCTCTGCACCCCTCCGACCTCATCGTGCATCCCTTGGCTGGACAACGAGCTTATCCTCTGATGCCCCTGAGGATTGTCCGAGTAAGGTACTTGCGGAGCGGGGTAGATGGAAGAGTTTTGCTGTTGTTGTTGTTGTTGGTGGCGGAAGGTGGCCTCAGTGGGCGACATGCTATTCGATGCGAGTTAGAGTTTGAGAGTTGGATATGAAATGGAGGGATGGTCGTGGTTGTGGCGATAAGACAGTCCGATCGGGCGGTGGTTCGTTCGTCGTGTGGCGTTGATGTGGTTCGCGAATTGAAGACGTAGCGGAACACCGACGATAGTCGCAGATGACAAGGAATAACAACAACCAGGGGAAAGACGTAGATCGCAGTCAGCGTCCTCTTCCACTGGAAAAGCACGGTCGAGAATGGACTTACTGATCGACCGGCGTATACTCAGGCATCTTCTCGATCTAGACTCTCTTCTGTACTTCTATGCTGTTACTCTCGCTTTCGCTTGTGGGGAGGTCGGATCTCCCTTTGAAAATGCGGATGTCTATTTCCTGCACCTGACTGCTCGACTCCGTATGGGTGAAAGGAGTAAAGGACGGTAGAGAAGTACTGCGACTCGATCTGATCCGAGTGGGAATATAAGGCGAGAAGAAAGGTACTGCGAGTGTGCAGATCTTGCTAATTGCAGTCGTGTATCTGTCGATGTTGCTGGAGAGGTAGGTGGTCGGATCACAAGGCTGTGCCGCGGCGATTTCCAAGTGCCTAGGTTCGAAAAGTCCGCGAACCGCAGGGCAAGGTGAAGTAGATGGGAGGACGATGGAATGAACGGACGTGTAGGTAGCAATAATAGTTTCAACTAGGTCTAGGTGCTAGGTGTAGATGTAGTGGTTGTAGGTTGTTTGTGTGTCGTGACAGGACGTAGATGGATGTTAGGACGATGTAGGGTTGTTGTTTTCGACGATCGATCCTCCTCCGCGTCAATGGGAGGCGAGGGGAATGAACGTGAGGGAGATGAAGAGATGGGACGGGACGGGGGGGGGGGGTGACCGGTTACTCGATATGTCGATCTGGGCTTCGACCTGCCTTTGAGATGGAGTCGAGGATGTCTGGATGTGGTTACGCAGTTGCTACGGACGTACAAGCAACAACAAGTGAGAGGCCGAGAGGGTGAGTGTGATGGGATTGATGGTGATGTTGATGGGAGATTTGTGATGATCAAGGTCGTTTGATGGATGATGGAATCAAAAGTGCTGCCAGTGCAAGGGGGCGGGCGAACAGCGGGGGCACAGCTTCTGTGCCACGGGGCAGGGGAGGGGAGGGCGAGGCCTCGATTACGAGAGCCAAGACCAGACCAAACCCATGCCATACCATGCGGGGGCGACGTTTACACTTCGGGGAATGGGTAACGTGGATCACCGAATCGACCTCGACACCTCGCACCTCGCACCTCGCACCTCGCAACTCGCAACTCGCAACTCGCAACTCGCGATCAGACATCGACACAGCGTGCCCACCTTCACAGCCTACGTTCACACAGCGCAAGCACAGCGTTCCGATCGAACAGCCTACTATGACTGAATCCTCTTGCCTCTTGTCAACAAGCAACGAGCAGCCAAACCGAGAAAAAAACAAATCCAGGATAGCTCCCGACCCGCGCTGGCGGTTAGCTCGAGGCTTTTTCCTTCGCTGCGATGACACACGTACGCCGCCGTCCTCTGCCTACGTAAACAACTACCGCCATGAGCCATGGGCGCACAGCATTCAGAGGAACCAGTCGTCTTCTGCTGTTTCATCGTGTTACCCTAGTGCGCCATCCATAGGTATATCGTCCCCCTCAGGGGCCGCTAATAGCTAGTAGCTAGTTGACGTGCATAGACATACGAATGCAAAAGGGAAGATCGGTTCTGAACTGAATTGGTGAATTCGAATCGAATTATCCGCTTCGGATCCACGATCTGAAAGGGTTAAAGGGGTCACATCACATGACAGGCAAGATCCGATCCGATGTAACATATACATCCAAGCCACTCTGTCAGAACCGCTTCCGCAAAAAGCGAGCTTACTCGCATGTCTTACATCTCTCAAGCTGTCGTCATTGTCATGGGTCGGTAAGTCCAGAGGTTCGTAAAACGTAGGTCCTTGTATCCCCTCGACCTCTTCTGGGTACAAGATGATGATGACTAATCGACACGGAAACCGAATGAGAGGGTCGATCGAATGAACAGATACACACGCATGGCACATCCAATCAGGCGCACACACCGAAACAAGTACAGACACAACGCACAGCCCTAGTATCTACCATCTATCACAGAGACGCCAGCTTCTGGTGCAACAGGCTCGCACCCTTCCTCCAACTCTTCTCCACCTGACCCATCACCTCTGGGGTCGCCAACACCCGCTTGACAACCGGTCCGAGCTCTTCATCCATCTTCAAGTTGTCCACCAACTCGACTACGACGAACGGAGCGTTCCCCAGGGCGAGATTAACGGCGTTCGATTCCCCACCAGCTTCCTCGCTCGTCAGAGCTTGCCAAAAGGCTTTGCCGAACTGACTCCGAAGTTCCTCGTTGGCGGATTCGACGCTGGACGTCGCACTGTTGAATCGACCTCCGGCCAACAAGGTCTTGTAAGCCCGGTCGGCGTAAGAAATGTCCAAGATGGGTGCGGTAGCCGGATCCTGTTCAGGGTCGACCGAGGCCGGGTTGGGATATGTCTGGCCGATGGGTCGTACGAGCGCCTGGATCGCCTCGGTTTTGTCTGTAGAGAAGCGGTATTTGTTTGCAACGCATGTTCAGCAGGGATTCTTTCCCTTTGACCTCTAGTTTCGCCCTGTCACTCACCTCCTTCCGCTTCGAGCATGATCTCGGTGACCAACAAGCTCGCCCCTGCATCCCTCATCAACTCCTCCCCCTGCTCGGCGACGAGCTTGATCATATCCGGACTGATGGCCACCCTCAATTCTTTTCTTCGAGTATCCTTGTTCTTCTTGCTAGTTGCTGCAGCGGTAGCGTCGGTCGCTTCCAAGTCCTTGATCGTCGAGGGGATGAAATGACGGGTGGACCGGGGAGTGACGAGATAGAGGAGGACTCGACGGCCGGTCTTGTGCATGGCTAAGCCAGGGGCGAGGACCGCTACTTCCTAGATTTCTCAATGCCGGGCCCGTCAGTGCTCGACTCTTTCGGCGACATGTTCACGCCCACGCAAAGACTCACGGTCAAGATGGCCTTGGCCATCATCTTGGTATCATCCACCACGTCGAACGCGGTGAAGAGGACCATCTGCGCCTCGGCATCCTGACAGAGCTTTTTCAAATGCGGCTTCAACACCCTCAAGATGTTCTTCCTATCCTTGGCTACTCCCCTCGCGAGCATCTCACGTGCCACAGCGGATCCGTCCTTTGTGTGTACGATATCGGCCAGGGACTCGATACAGACGTCTAGGAGGTCGTGCATCTTCTTGTCGGCCTCGTCGGCGGGGAGGAAGGCGTAGATGGCTTGAAGGTATTCGAGGACGAGTCGGTGGAAGATGGCCTGTGCGAGGGCTTCCTTTTGAGTCGAGTTGAAGCTGAAAAAGATCATGACCTAGATCAGTCGAGATTCATCAAAAGACGCTATCTGCGTGGCACTTACATCGCGCTGATCCTCTCCATCAACAGGTCCAGAACCCTCGTCCTGATCGCGCCTTCTCCCATGCCTTCGAGCGTCTTGACCAACCCCTTGATCTCGATGCCCTTTTCCACATTTTTCTTGATCTCATCCTTGCCCTCTGGGGTAGTCCCACCGATCCCGAGACCGTCAAACAGGAGAACCTCTTTAGGGTAAAAAGCGCGGACCATGAGTCGACGTTCTTTGGACGAAGCGTGGAGTTCGTAAAAGTCTGCGAGGGGGGTGATGGCGTGCGAGTGGGCGATGAGGGTGGGGATGTGAGGGGAGAGTTGGGAGATCATGGAAAGTCGGACCGAGGGACTGTGGGAAGACAGTTGGGTCAGCTTGACTCTTTCATGACGGGATTTCGCTCGGCATCAACTTACCAATGACGAATGAGCTTGGCCATCAAGAACTGCACGAAGTATCACCGATAAGCGAGATCATCAGTTGGAGCCCTGTCCCACAAGCTCGATGTCGACACTCACCTTTGAGTACTTGCTCTCCAACATCTGCTTGTACAGCCCATCCAACTCGACGGCGATGCCATTCCGCTCCTCCTTCCCCCCATACTTGACGATCTGCGCAGCAACAAACAAGATTCTCTCAGCTAAAACTCTCTTGTACTTGATCTACGACATTCCTCCCAACGTACCGTCTGCAAAACCCTCCCACCCTTGTGGCCCCGTCCGACCTCCCTCACTCGACCCTTGACGGCCTCGTACAACTGTTTGATCTTCTTGCTACGTTCCTCCTTGGAGAGGTCGGCTCTTCGAGCGTCTTCCCAGAGCGGTAAGAGGGTGTCTTTGAGGAGAGGGTGAGAGGGAAGGAGGGTTGTTCGGTGAGGTTGTTGGGCGTGCAGGGCGGCTTTCTCGGCTGCAGTGACGAGCAAAGTGACGTTATGTTATGATGAGCCGGCTGAGGGATTGGTGTGACGGAGGAAGAAGGAGACTTACCTTTTGATAGACGTTTCGCTTGTTCACCATCGAGACCAGCCGGTACATCGCCCACGGCACCGGTCTCGACACCATCCCCGGCCTCCATCTCTACGTCTTCGTCAAACTCGTCCTCTTCCAAGTTGTCCATATCGACATCGTCATCCTCCTCGAGGTCGAGATCCTCTTCGTACTTTCGTCCAGTGATCGGGGCTTTCCGCTTGGGCTCCTGTTCGGCCTTTTTAGGTTCCCTGCTCACATTCTGTCCTCCTCGTCGGGTCGGCTTGGAGTCTTTTGGTTTCGAGGCGGATGGTTTACCACCCGAGCCGTTTGAAGCGGCGACGCGGGGTTTCTTGCTCTGAGGACCGGAGGACGGGCGATCACCAGCGGAACGCTTTTTCGAGTTGGAGGGGGGTGCCATGGTTGTCGAATGATAATGTGATGGCTAGAGGGGGTAAGGTGGATCGACAGACAGTTGAATACACGACATGCAGGCAGTAGTTTCTCGAGCTGACTGCACAAGATGTAGGGAGTAGTGGAGGGGGTGCGGTGCTCTCTCTCGAGTTTTGAAATCTCGACAAGTCACGTGATTTGAGCGACTTGGGTTACGGCATTAAGGAGTCTTGAAACCTTGTTTGACCCCTGCGACAACCTCGGACTCGACGGGCGCACGGCTGGACGATCCCTTACTGGTCATCTCAACAACAAGCTGTGAGCTGACTACACATAGTGCCCGTTTGCTGATCAGATTCGATGTGGCTGATCGCCCGAGAACAAGCGTGCTATGCAATCCTTTGACAACTCGTGGCGATTCGATCCCTCTCGAGGTCTCGAAATGCTAGTTGGACTAAATGTTGGATTCCTACTCCTAATGTATTTTCACTGACTTTTCACGACGACGTATCTAGTATAGTAGAACGGATGAGGGCCACGCAAATGCGCAACAATCTAGGAATGCGCAAGTTTGAGGACAGGGTCGAAGAGCCTCGAGAGGACTGGCGAAATCCCGCGACTGGCGTCATTAAAGCCCTCTGGCAGTCGCATCAACAACAAGTCCAAATCTACCGAGGAGATTTTTCCGTTGTTAGCAGTAGCGGTAGTGGCAGCAGTACCGTTTGCTGGATTGGAACGAGGTGATCGCATAAAGACGTCCGGCGGCACGATCACAGCCGGTTATATACCATCGAGAAAATGGCAAAGGCAAGATTTGGTCCAGTCCGCCAGCCTCCAACACTTGATCGTGGCGTATGACTCAAAATCCTTGAACGACCGGGCAGTGATCAATTATCTCAGAAAAGAGAATGTTCAAATCGAAAACAGGGTTGAGGGACTGTCACTGCGAAGACCAACGGTTTGATTGGCGCTTTGAGCTTGGTCCAGGAAGGGAACTGTTTCACAGGAGCGCGAATACTTGTTCGCGATCGAGCGGGTTACATCGAGATTGCTCCGCTTAAGACCTCTTCTGTAGACTGAGAGCGCCTGCACCCTAGGTTCATACGACTCGCCCGAGCGGCTTGGCTTTGTGACTCTCTGGCCGAAATCCCGCTCACTCGAACGATATATCCATCTTCCGGCGTCGTTCCGCGATGGGCCTGGACTCCCAACTCGGTGTCAGATCCATTATCGCTGCTATAACCGGGGCTAGCTTCAGCATCATCGATCTCGATCTCCATCTCGCTTCATTTCCGGTCGAGCGCATGCAAGGGTGAATCCCGTTATCATAGCTGCAAAGGATACGCTACGATGCTACAGGCTATTACCACAGGAATATCGAACAACCAATGCACTCGAACTCGCTTCGGAGTCTGCGGAGACGATGATCACCTCATATTGTAGGCGATGGCCCAACTTGGAAGCCGATACGATACCTCATTACACTCGGAAATCGAACCAAGGGATCTCATATGATATACTCTACAAAGTGGTGATCCGACATCTCAGGACCCAACCATTCTGAGAACGATGCGATGCGGACGTTGGCTATTGCCCATGGATAGCGTTCACCCGAATAGAGTCCGTCGACATGATCGGTATATATCGCATTGCCAGAGGACGAGCACGATACCGTAGGACGACCTGCTACAGGAAGTCCGCAACGACACGGCACGACCTGATGTACACTCTAGAAAATGGAGATGGTGATTTCCGAGATAGCTCGGAAGGACGGGCGCTCATACCGGTCTGAAAAGATACTCGATTGCCTAAACGACGCCAATGAACCAGAGCTTCTTTGGATCGAGACATCTGATCTTAGGTATACTGTATCTCACTCGTATTGGAATTGGAACTATACGGTCCGAACTCCCCCTACGGCCCTGTCAATAAACTTGATCCATCGAGATCTCATCGCGTCGACCGGTCCGATATTTGAGGTTGCCGAGGAACATGCCGAGCGACGATTTGTTCGCTCGAGTCACAGCGGACGGCTTTCTTGCAAGACAGGGATGGAGGGTTGGGAGGAGGAGGAAGTGGACTTCGTATCTGGGCCGCTTCGTCAACTACTTTGTACGATCCGTGATGATAAGACGAGGCGTCAGGTATTACTAAAGGTGTACGGTAGGATTATGGAAGCGCATCGCGCTGCATATCACGAGCATCGACCCGCAACCGTACAAGTTCAAATTGAATTCCGGGTGATCCAGCAAAATGGAGTAGTGGATACCTTCGAACCAGAAGGAGCTAGGTTTTTCGCATGTGATCCTCGGAAGCTCAGACGAGATTCCAGATCCCAGGTGTTGTCAACGAGTCGATTGTCGATCGTGATCGCGCTCCTCGGACCGGTCTATCAGATTATTGCAATCGTTTTGCGACCCTGTCTTGCCGGTGGCCGAAAGACAGCCGGGGAAAATGTGGAGGTCCCCCTTTTCGTGTTTCGCTTGGCGACTGGTTTGATGGAGGGGGTGGATTCTCCGTTCATATGGCAGCGAGCTCGAGTTCGACAGGGGGAGAAGAGGGAAAAGATCTCGTTTTGATGATGAAAGCGTACCGATTTCTTTCTTTGTGTGTGTGCTTGACGCGCGGAAACAATTCTGATTCGGTCATGTGCGCCGCATCGACCCCCTTGACACGCGCGAGCAGGCAGGGCGAGGCAGGGCAGGAGCAAGGCTCGGGGATCGCCGGCACGATCGTCGCTCTTTCCCCTGCCTCTCCCACCTTGCCTCCCCGCATAAGAATGGCTTGCCGGTCCCGTGGGGCCGGAGTGCCCCGGGCCGATGTGACCGGGCCGTGGCATATCATCTGATCCGGGGAAATGAATCGAGCAGCGAGCAGAGTGTGGTGGTGATGGACCTTGTGTATATATAGCCAGATCATGTCGAGTGGGCGAATGACTGTGAGGTGGGCAAAGTGACAGCCAGAGCAAAGCCAACGGGATCGATCCGACAACATCACCCACGATCGACACATTACCGCCACCCACCACTCACCACCCACCACACCCCACAACCAACAAACCACACACGATGGGTTTCATGGGAGGTTTCGGATTCTCCCGATCCCAGGCCGAACAGGACGCCTGGGAGGTCAAGGCGTACCAGGACACCCTAGCTGCCCGGGTAGCCGACCACCACAATGCCATGGGCGACGAGAACTTTGAGGTTGGCGAAGAGAAGAACGCTGGGGGTTACAAGCAAAACTACCGGGCTTTCGTCCTCGCCTTTGCCGCATACATGGGGTGAGTCCTCGCGAGCCTTTCGGTCATCAGCGACGCGCGCGCGAGATCGACTTGGACTGACCATCGGATGGCCTTGTCTTGCGAAACATCTCAGTATCATCCTCTTCGGTTACGATACCGGTCTTGGAGGTGGAGTCATCGCCCAGCCCGCTTTCATCCGTGATATGGGAATCACCGCGACGGGGAAACCGTTGGCCGACATCAAGGGAAACATCGTCTCGATCTTGCAAGGAGGAGTGAGTCTCATCCGTCACTCACATAATAAGCTTCTCCTCTCGCGGGGCGTGCGCTTACCCTTGTTCGATTCGCGACTTGCCTCGATACCGTAGTCCTTCTTCGGTGCCCTCGGTGCTGCCCCGCTCAGTAACGCCATCGGTCGAAAGCGATCCCTCATGATCGGATGTGCCATCTTTGCCGTCGGAGGTTTCTTGCAGACGTTCGGTCGTTCGTTGAACTTTCAATACGCTGGTCGTTTCTTGGCCGTGAGTTTCGGACAGGTCGAGGCATATGATCTCTCTCGCCACTTGATGCTAATGATGATGATGGGACATTCTTTTCAGGGTTTCGGTGTCGGTATCGAGTCGTCCGTCTGTCCTACCTACGTCGCCGAGTTGGCTCCCGCTGCCATCCGAGGTAACATTACCGGTCTGTTCCAAGTCTGCGTCGTCACCGGAGTCGGTAAGTCGATCATCTCAGGCCATCCAATAGACGTTTATATTGATGCCTCCACCTCCTACTTCATAGCCCTCTCGTACTGGATCAACTACGCCTGTTCCTTCTTGGGTCCCAATGACTCGAACGCTTGGAGGATCCCCGTCGCCATGCAACTCGTCTTTGTCGGTATCATGTCCATCATCATCCCGTTCATCAAGGAATCCCCTCGATGGCTCGCGAGCAAGGGCAGGAACTCTGAAGCTTGCAAGAACTTGGCCTGGGTCCGATTGAGGCCCGAGGACGATTACCGAGTCCAAGCCGAACTCGCCGAGATCATCGCCGCCGTCGAGGCCGACAAGGAAGCCATGGCGGGCGTCTCCTGGACCAAGGAGATCACCGCCAAGGGTAAACCCAAGAGGTTCTTCATCGCCATCATGATGTTCGTCTGTCAACAATGGTCCGGACAGAACTCGATCAACTATTACGCCCCGGAGATCTTCGAGTCGATCGGTATCAAGGGGACCAAGGCCTCACTCTTGGCCTCGGGTGTTTACGGACTCGTCAAGATCGTCGCGACCGCCTTGTTCATGGCGTTCGGTGTCGAGCGTGCCGGAAGGAAGAAGTACTTTGTCTTTGGGTGAGTCCCAGAACGACAGCTCTTGTTTTCACCATTTCGATCGCCCGAGGCTGACATGATTCGTTCATCGCCCTCCAGTGCCCTGGGTATGGGAACCTTCCTGATGATGATCGGTGCCGTCTTCAACACCCACCCCCCTGACAGGAACGCTGAGTCGCCTTCGGGAGCTTCCATCGGGATGGCCGTCCTCATCTACCTCTTCGTCATCCCTTACTGCTTCTCCTGGGGAGGTCTCGTCTGGGTCTACATCTCCGAGCTTTTCGACACCAGGTCGAGGGCTTACGGTATCGCTTTCGCCAACGCCTCTCAATGGTGAGTCTCGTTGCTCCTCCTCGTGCTGAATGATACTGTGCGCAGATGACTGATCTCGAACGGTCGTGACGTTTTGCAGGTTGAACAACTTTGCTATCACCAAGACTACCCCGCTCCTCGTCATCGCCTTTAACAAGGGTGGGATCTTCTTCTTCTTTGGAGCTTTGAACTTCTGCAACTTGATCTTCTCCCTCTGGATCCCCGAGACCATCAAGGTGAGCCAACTCTCTCGTCCTTTCTTATGTACGAGCTCGACCGCTGACTTGTTCCGGTCTCTTTTTCCCCGCAGCTCTCGCTCGAGCAAGTCGACATCGTCTTCGGCTCGGTCAGCAAGGAAGACCGTATGCGAGCCGTCACCGAGCGATTCAACGCCGGTGCGGCCGGTATGGCCTATAACGAGAAGAACAAGTCGGTGGACGACGACGAGAAGTACACGACCGACATTGTTCACGACGAGGATGCCTCGAGGAGTCATCCCAGGTAAAGCAAGGGCGATGCATAGTCGAAGGTCTGCTTGTATGGTATCTTTTTTTGTCTTAACGAAAGGAAGGCTGGGGAATCCGAAATGGAGTGATGTAATGGTCGCACGGCAGCAGGTCGATAATCCTTTGTACACAGGTAGCGCGATGTTCATATTCCCACTTGATTGCGCAGATTCCTTCCGGTTCAGGTCGATCGATCTTTACTCGAACACTTGCATCTACATTTCGCGAATCGTCAACCTCCTCTGACTTCCAACAGATCGGGGCTGCCTTGCGATACGATGCTCGGTCAAGGAAAGCAAAGGCTGTCAGGCTACGCATGGTGAAGCAGTAGTGTGTCAAATCGCGCCCAACAAGCGCGTTTCAGCAGATCCTAAACGTTTCAAGCCCACGCGCGCGCGATCCGATCGTAAGTGGTGTTTCCTCTTTTGCGAGCACGTTCGTCACGAAGACGTCAAGTCAACCCATTGGCCTAGCTTGTCGTAGATGATCTGGCCATTGCTGCTTCCTCCATCAGAGGGTTGCTATGAACTGTAGGTCCGCCAGAGTAGGAATTCTGCTATCGCGCGATCGCCTTGAATAGCGCTGACACAGTAAGGAGAGTCGCATCCGGGGATGACGGTCGGCTTGACGTTGAACTAAAGCCATAGATTACCGGGCGCGCGGGTCCATGACTCGGCGATCGCTAGGTGATTCGTGGTGAGGGGAGATGAAAGCAACTGACTTTCTTCGTTTGGATTTGGTGATGAAGATCGCGAGTCTGGGATGACAGGTCGCTGAAGACGCTATCGTCTTTGTCCTATGTCTCTCGCTGACCGGGGGACCATCGGGCTAGGCTCGTTCTGTCCTGGCGCACTCTCTCGTTGTGCAATGGCATTGTGAGACTGCAACAGTGATACATGAAGAGCGGGATAGGTCGCAGTCGATCTTGTGCGCCGGTATGATAGGCAATAGACTGGTAAGATCAGCTTAAGCCATTGTCGAATCCGTGACGGATGATACTGTATAACACGGCACCCGAACGCAGTGGGGTGCGGTAGAAGAGGGATCACTCGAGGTCACTGGTCCAACGGAATGGTTGTGTGACACGGTATCCTCATTCACCGACGTCTACAGTATTATCATCAAAATAAAAGCACGCGGTGAAAAATCGAGCTGAATCGACGTTCAAATTTGCCCAATACTGTAGTCCAATCGGCTTGGTCTACATTGTGATGATAGATCATCTATTCGATATATGACCTCACCTTTCAGTCCAGTCCAGTCATACAAGCCGGCGACCATTTTCTAATCTCTAGCTCTCGGTACGATACTGCAGCCGACCTCAAGATCGAGTTCCGACGTATGTCTATGTCTGGTGACGCAGGCATCGCTGCGGGGTGGTAGACTTGATCCCTTTTGGGTTTCTTCGGCACAGTTTTGTATTACAGTACGAGCCGACTATCAGGTTTGTAGGGGACACTGCTATCTGGGTAGGTCCAAGCCAAACTCGCCCCGGTCGTTCTCTACCCTGCATTGCATTGGAATACTTCATTATCATTGTGACCCGTGCTATTGTTGCCATACAGTAAGTATCGGCGGAGAGGGCTACTATTATTGTAGGTATCACCGGCCGCAGCTACCTTGACCTCATCGAATTCGGTAGGGTAGCCGACATAGGGATCAGGGTTGGCGGTCCTTCTGTATCGAATAGAGTGATGATTGATGATGAACTCTGTATTGGTGATTACCTTTGTGGTTTTACCGACCGTCTTCTCTGGAGCATTGTTATTGTATGCAATTTTACGTTCGATGCGCTGCATCGCCTCAGAGGTCTCAGATGGTTTTGGAGATGCCCCAACTAGTACCCTTCTTGTAATAGTTTGACATCCGGTATGACACAGCTATGCATACCTACCGTTACCTTCCCTCAGTCCTGCACCCTTGCCATGGCTACTGTAGGCCCTTCGAGAGAGTCGTTAGGCTCTTCTGTAAGGGATGCTGGATCTGCTCCTATAATTTCAAGTTCATTCCCAGTCCATATTATTGACCGTGGATCGTTCTGTCGATACGATACAAACAGGAATCTTGAGCCCAAAAGAGGTGGCTTACGGAAACATTCAGTCCAGCACCTCTGGTCCTCATGAAACACTCTCATCGATCATCGACTTGCGATTTTCGGAGTTCGATGCCCCTTGACCTGAGAACGTAGAACCCAAACGAGCAGTCGCTTGCCCGAAACACCCCTCCCCTCCCCCTCCTTTGAGCGCTCCGGGCCGGGGGATGATCCTTTCGTCCGGTAGTGAAAAGTCCCGCGAAGTAGCCGGGACTAGCGAGACTTGCGCTACACCTTTGGAATGGTTGTCACGTGAGTCTGCAAATGCTGCGTTGCACCGCGTGAGCATGCAGGCGCGACGACGACGAGGGGCGACCAGGCACAGTCGCGAGGGGCAAGCGGTGGGTGTGGACGGGGCACCTGTGTTGATCGAGTTGCATCCGGCAATTGGACCCCCCCCCCCTCTGGACCATACGAACGCAGGGTTCGAGTACATGGATGGTAGAAAAAGACATCCCTTCCATCATCAAATTAGAATACACCGTCAATCATCCTGCGACGAATCAATATCACCATCGGCTTGTTCGTCATCCAGACTCCCAATTCCAGGCGACCGGGAGGATATATTGGCTTTCCTGGACACGATCGGCCAAATCCTATTAGGGGTGACTCGGACGCGAAAAGAGCGCAAGTAGGATTGCTCGAAAGACCTCTCCACTAGCCACTCTCCTCTCGCTGTGATCGCCATACCAGGTCTTTCGACTCGAGTCTAGAGTCTAAACAACAGAGTGGGGGAGACACGAAGGAGAACGAGGACGGAAAGCAACGACCGGGTGTTCGTACTGGACGAGAGGTCGGACCTCGTTCGTAAATTCAGGGTTGGAGCTCGAAGGAGACTGAGAAGACGAGGTCAAGGCTGAGGACCAGGCCAAAGAAGGAGAAGAAGAAGAAGAAGAAGAAGATGATGTCCGTCTTGGCCCCCCCGCCCCAACCAGCCTATCAACCTTCGTACCCGTATTCATGGCCCCATACGACCGGCGGTCATGATAACGGATTCCGAGATCGGGACGTTAGCGGAGATGATCACGATCGTGACAATGCAAACGAGGACGAGGACGAGGATGAGAAAGACGAAGATGAAGAAGAAGACGCTTCGGGCGAAGGAGAAGATGACCACGACCAGGACCAAGAACGTGATCACCGGGGGTATCATCCACGCTCTTCAGCTTCAGATTCGAATTATGATGGTCCCTCACATTCGCAACGATCTGCGCACCCTCAACAGCACCAACAACACCATCAACAGCAAGCACAACAGCAACAGCAGCAGAATCAGACGGGAACGAATATGAATCTGAATCTGAAGAGGAAATACGAACCCGATCCAGATCCAGAAGACCCAGATGCGGATCGATCTGAAGTCCAAGCGGCCAAATCGAGGTCTGTCCCGAGGACCGGGAGTGGGACCGGCAATATCAATACTAGTGGGGGCGGGACAGGGCGGAGGGATAGCATTGCTGATGGAACGGGGAAGAAGCGAGAAGGTGAAAGTGAGAGCGAGAGGCGGAAGTCTGTTGCTGGGCCTTTGAATGGGAATATCACCGCGAACTCTCACGCCAACACCAACGGAAACGGACATGGGACTGGAAATGGGAGTCGAAGCGGAACCGGTGCGCCAGGAGGAGGATTCCGACGTCCAGCCCCGATCGGGTTGGGGGTGGACGCTAGGGAAGCCGCACGGATCGGGAGAGCTGGAGGGAGTTCGGGAGGCGGTTCGAATTCGAATTCATACGTGAACGGAGGGTCGGGTAATAGTTCGAATTCGAACTCGCATTCCCACTCGAGTGGGAATGTCAACGGTGGTGGTGGTGGTGGTGGTGGTGGGAATGGCAACGGGGATCGGGCCGAAGGATCTAGGTCTGGATCTGGGTCGAACTCCAACTCCAACTCCAACTCCAACTCCAACTCGAACGGAAACTCGAACGGAGGACAAGGTCAAGGACAAGGTCAAAGATCAAACCCAGGCGGTTCAGGTTCAGGTTCGGGTTCAGGGGAAGGAGCGGCGGGGTTCAACCCGAATCGGAAACCGACTTGCGATATCTGTCGGAAGAGGAAGGTGAGTCGCTCGCGGAAAGACAGGTCTTCTTCTCCGTTTTTGAGCGCACCGAGGGGGCTTGAGTGGATGGGTGGAACATGTGGAAGAAGTATCTTGGGAAGATGCGAGTTTGCGAGAATTGCGGAATGGAAATGAGAATGTCGGAACAGATGCGGGAGATGTGTTACCGCAAGCTTCGAGCTCATGCAGGGAGAAGATGACGAAAGAAGACGGGTGGCTGTTCTTTGATTGGTGACGAAATTGGCGTGCGAGGCCGTATTTGCGGAAGAGTGCACAAAGACCGTCGGCACGACGTTGTGCTGCTCAGCGGAACATGGAGATGTTGCGGCGAGATGGCTACACCCAGAATACACCGGACTCGACGTTTAATCACAGTCTCCAATCGTTGTCTCCGGCTTGAAACGTACTTGGAGCAATGGACGATACTGATCCTTTCACGCGCATCAGATCAAATGCGTTCGAACCGAATCTCCCGACCCGCAAGCTCCGCCGATGCAGTGTAATGGGTGCAAGTCGATCGGGCTCGAGTGTACCTACCTGCACGTATACAAACGACCCGGAAGGCCCAACAGCTGGATGACGGGTCAGGGGTCGAACAAGCGAAAGGCTTGGGACGAGGACAAGCCCAAAGAGGAAGGCGGTAGTAGTAAAAGGCGGAGCTCGACGACCGGCAAGGCTACCAAGGAGACGAGCGGGCGAGGTCAAGGTAGTGGACAAGCTCAACCTCCGACCGGCTCGAGTACGATCAATCATAGCGCCCCGTTACCTTCGGTGCATTTCGCCTTTCCCGATGATAAGCCGATGGAGGACAACAAAGCTGGTATCTCCGGGCATATGAACAATCACCTGCACAACAACGGATACCGTCCGCAACAGCACCTGAATAGTGACTATATGATGAACTTGTCGCATACGGGGGAACCGACATTTGGTACAACTAGCCCGGATCTCTGGGCTAGCGGTTCGGGTAGTCCTGGACGGGGACATAGACATCCGGACCTGACGTATTCCGGTAACCTGAACTCGACCGGATTGAGCGTCCCTGGCGTAGGCATGGGAGGCAGGATGCAGAGCTTTGACAATTACGGGAACTCTCAGCCTACACAATCGTATGCCAGACAGACCGTGGGGCCAGCCGTAGGTAACATCATTAACGGCGTAGGGATCGGCATGCCGGGAGGATCTGGTTCCAACAACGGTTTCGTCCACCCCTCGACCGGAATCTCACCCAACGGTTCCGGCAACGCGCTCGACATGCACATGTTGGGAAACAATGGGACCATGCTCAACGGCGATTCGGGATCGTACCGCTCAAACTCGATCAGCGGGAATCAGTTCGCCTTGCCTCCAGGTGCCATCTCGTCGACCACACAGCAGGTCCATTTACCCTCGGAGCATTCAGGTTTCTCGCCTTCGCTTTCGCCAGGCAACATGATGGGAAACAATAACAACATGGCACCACCCAACTCTCACCCCCAAGAGCCGCCGCATATCCTTACCACGGGGAGTGACAGTACTTCTCGCGGTCGCCAAGATTCGCTGCATGGGTACCGGAGCTCTATCCCGCCTGCCAAGTTGCTGCAAGAATCGTTACATACGATGCCCCAGATCGAAGACGTGACGAGCTGGTCGACCGTTAGCTTCTTCATCTCGCTATACCTCCGGCATCTGCACGCTTTGGTAAGACACCCTGGGCGTGAGCATGTACGACGCAAGCGTTTGCTAACGTTGTCAACCTGTGCGATAGACACCGATCGTGCACAAACCCAACTTTACCGTTTGCCTGGCTACGCGACTTGATCAAAAGGTCAGTAGATCGTACATGCGCCTTACTCGGACAGGCAGCTAATGATCTCCTTCCCATCGAGCAGGACGTCGAATTTCGAGCCTTCCTCCTGTCGATCACGTCATACGTCATCTCGCAATCACCCAAGAGCCGGATGATCGAGCACTACTCGCAGAGCGAGCTGGAAAAGCTGCAGAACACGTGTTACCGTGCGAGTCAGCTCTTGCAGACGAGGCGGTACAAGGAACCAAATCTGGTCCAGGTCGGGACTTTGATGTGGTGAGTTGATCGATCCAGCCGAATCCGTACCGGCTGAACCTGACCGTGCTTTGTAGCGATTACTTTTTCTGCACGAGTACGGGTAAGATAGCGAGGGCCACGGCGACCATGGCAGAAGCTATCGCGCTATCGTACCGTATGAATATGCACGATGATGCCCGGACGGCTGCGAGTGGTGTGGACCACACGGAGATCCAGCTGAGACGGCGCACATTCTGGCATCTGTATGCGATCGACAAGTGAGTCGGGATTGAATCGAGGAGTTTGGCCAGGATGACGGGTTCTGATCAATGCCTTCAATACGCCAGGACTGAAGCCTCTGCAGGTCAACCGTCTATGATGAACGACCAAGAAGGCCTGTGCTCGCTCCCACTCGAGATCGACGACGACTTCATCACGGCCCAAGGATCCTTCCCTCAACCCGCAAACCGGACCTCGACCATGGTCGGTTTTGTCGCCGTCTCAAAGCTGTTCAAGATCATGTCCGAGGTCTTGTTCCGTCATCGATGCGTGACCAACCGCTTCAACCTGAGCAACCAGTGGGAAAACGACCCACCTCCGGGGGATCCGACTGCGACGTCTTCGACCATGGGGATGGATGATATGATCAGGAGGGAATCCGAATGGATCGTCAGGGCTCACGATCGGATCCGAGAAGTCTTGGATGGACTGCCGCCTGATTTGGCTACGCAGAGGGCTGAGGTGGCGACCAACCCGGATTTGCCGCCTGATATGAGCGCCATCTTTGGGATGCAGGTCGCCAACTGCTTGATCACCGCCGCTAGTGTGCAATTCGCCTTAGTAAGTGTCAGCCCATTCTCTTGATGCACTGCTGATGGGAAGCTTTATTCTATAGTACGACTTCAAGGCCTTCCTTGACGCTGGAGCCGACACGGTCGCTGAATCGCAAGAGCAGACCGCTAGGGAGATGTATAGGTTGCTGTCGAGCATTCCGCTGGATCATCTGGCTGCAAACGGAGAGAGCATGGTAAGCCCTGATATATTTTAATTTCCTGGACGTCATCGATATTGACGCGTTGTGCACACGTTTACAGCGAGGAAAGGTCTTGCGAATCATCCTGGCCCTCTTGAACCGTTCGCGTACCCCTGATCAGCTGAGCGAAGAGGTCAAGTCGTTCTGGAACATGTTTAGTATGATCCAGTTCGTGCAAGTGAGTTGCGAATCCCCCGTACTTTGAATTCGAGTTTGCAGAAACCATCGACTGATGTAGACACTGAAAAACTCGCAGGTCATGCCGTCGACAGCAGATTCAGTATTCCCTAGTCGAGAACCCAGCCCGGGTCCCGTCTCCACTTAGCGTAGATCTCGCCGCTGCAGGTTGGCTGTACTATATCAGAATTGACATATATTCTCGCAACCATGACGACATGGTCGGTTCTGCTTAGTCATCATCCTCGGCGCTCTGCCTCGATTGATCGTCGAGCATATCCGTAGCCTTGAGATTCGATTCACATCCACTGTTGATCATAGCGGAGTCTTGAACCCTCACACGATTCGAGCACCTTTCCTTCCGACTAGTGCTCAGTCAGAATGTCCTACCCTGACCAACCTCGTACAGTCGACGCTGCCCCCGTCATCGACCGCGACACCGTAAACCAGATCCTCTCTCACCTCTCGCTCGAATCGGCAGATCAGCTCCCATCGCCTCCTATCACCTTTCTCAAGTCCCACTTCAACCGGATTCCGCCGACGTTGTTATGGGCTTTCAACGCTCCTATCACTTCGAGCCGAGAGAGGAGCTCGATCAGGGAGGTCAAGGCGAGGAGGATGTTGTTCGCCGAAGCAGGAGGATCGAGGGCTAGGCAGCTCACGGCGGAGGAAGGTTGGAGACGATGGCCGGTACTCTGGGAGAGCTATGGTGGGGATCCTTTAGGACCACGAAGACGAGCTCAGGATAGTTTTGGAGAGGTAGACGGGGAGGAGGAAGTTGGATTGCCAACACGGTCGATACCGACCTTGTCAGGCGAACCTGCACCGGCGAAAACACCAACGATACCTTCGTTCCGAATGCGGGAAGAATCCACCTGGGCGAACCAAGAATTCATGCCCACCACCCCCGATCCAGATTCTAATACCAACTCGAGTATGAATGCGATTACCGAGACCGCTCAGGCAGACCGCCGAAAACGAGTCCTCCAAGTAAACAAGCTCGGCAAATTCCTCGCCGAGCTCGAAGAAGAGAGAGAATGGGAAGATATGAGGGACGCCAAACGTCTTGAGAGGAGAAGGAATCAGGAAGAAGAAGCAGGGAAGGAAGAGTTTGAGGAGAGCAGTGATGAGGAGGAAGAAGAGGAGGAGGATCCGAGGTTGGTCGGTCTGCCGGCTGAGGATCAGGAGGAGGTGAAGGTACTTTTCGAGAGGAGGTTGTTAGAGCTGTTCTTGGATGGCCTCGATGTAAGTTTTTCTGAGAAAGATACACCCGTTCTGTCTTTGAGCGACCTGCACGCTGATTTGAGTATCGCTATACCTTGCCCTATAGACGCTCGACTATGCACCGATCGATTTTGAACCACCTTCAACGTTGAACAAGCTGGTCATCCAGGACGAAGAAGATCGGTATTTCGACGACGAGGACGAGGTGGATCTCTCTACGTCTGACAGCAAGGATAAGGACAAGGACGAGGGAGAGACGGGCGGGTTGGCAGAGGGGGAGTACGATTATTGATATTATGATAGATGTCAATCCTGGTCGTATCAGTCGATGAGCCAGATATGATTGGGGGAATGAGCCGCCATTACACATGTTGATGCGATCAGGCATCAGGAGCAACCAAAGTTCCAAGTGGCAAAGCTCTCGTGGAGTCGAGACTCGAGGACGGGACGAAAAGCCTGTCTGGCAAAGTAGCCGGTTCGTAGAGGTCACGATCCTGAGGGCACACGGGTCTACATATCATCGCTGCCGTCGAGGATTGTTGCTATATGAAACCGTAAAGGGATCGACAGCTGTGCAATCCAAACTCGAGAAGGTCGACCGTGAAAAGGGTTCCAGTGAAACATAAAGCGATGAATTCAGCCAGGTGAGGTAAGGTTGACTCGATTAGACATCTGCTCAACATGGAGGCCCGAAGCGCCTTTTTCGAACTAGCGCCATGACCTCCTTCACATTTCAGTCTCTTCTGTTATCGCATGTTATCGCATGGGACCTGGAATTGAGGGTTCGCAGTCCATGCGCTCGCCGAGATCCATGTAGACGGACAGGAAAACGCGCTGGCATCCCGATTCTTCTGGGTCGGCCATGTCCTCTTGCTTCTGGTAGATCGTAACGCTAGCCCTTGGACGCCCAAAGTAAGGTTATCGCGACGAGGTCCATAGAATTGGCGACCAGTAGCATCAGATGTGTGTCTGAGCCTAATCATATTCAAGAGTCCTTAGCGGCGCCAATGCAATAGCGTCCCACACAGCGCTCATCCTCAGAGCACTCGCTGCCTTGTCGAAAATAAGGTTTCGAGTGGATGTCAGAGCGGTTCGAATAGAAGTTCCCGTTGAGAAGTATGAGCCTGTATAGTATTCAAACGGTCGATCACGCAAAAATTCGGACGGAGAGGTACTGTAGGACTCTGTCGGCAACTTCTGACCGTAACGACGCTCAGGAAACTACGGATTTCTGGAACTTGACAGAGACATCTCCGGTCTTCAAGGCAAGGGAAACTATCGGGGATGCAACCGTCAACTATGAAAGTGAATTGTCCCTTTGCATGGCTTTTGAATCTACGAGGCGTCAGATCTAGACAATTGTGAGTCTTCAACAAGATGGGTTCGCCGTCCATGATACTAGCAATCTCGATGTCATAACCAGTCCCTGACCTTTTGTAAATGGCCCTTATATAGAGGTGGGTCGTTCACATCCGTCACGACTGAAGTCGTGGGTGCAAACACGAGTTTGGCCAAGTGCATCCTTGCTTGAACAGGCTTGCACAACATGACTAGTTCCCTTCGGCTGACCAGGAAGACACATTGATGATTCGAGCGGAAAGAGCAAGGAGCGGCTGAGCTGCTATACTTTTCACATGTGCTGTCAAAGATCGATCCGCTATCTTGGTGCATAAGCACACATTTATCCTATGGCAGAAGACACGGACATTGTAGTACTCATAGACCGTCTTCTCATGGAAACCTGTCAGGTCTTGCCGTTTCAATGCCGCTTGCTGATCGATATCTGCCAAGATCTTGGCCCAAACCTTCCTTTGAGAGGGTCTCTCTGGCCCTCGAATACTGGATACGCGGCGCTGGTGTCTTTTAGATAAGCTTCTAACTGTGATACCCCACCATCATCACTGGTCATCCTCGATGTGCTTACTCGAGGCTGTACTGTGAGCAGATGTTTCCCTCGAACGGTTCATTTTTCTTGAGATGAAACAGCTATGAAAGGGTGAAACGCGGGATCAGTCTGCAGCCTGGCCCTGAGCGCGGCATTCATTTCCCAAGTTTCGCTAGTCAGTCACTGAAATAGAATTGGATACAACAAGGGTCTAGCAACTTCGCCACTAGCATTGTACAATGACGAGCATTATACTTTGTATGACAAGCGCAAAGTGAATAATCCATTCAGTATTCAACCGGGCGCAGACCTTGGTCGATTGGGGAGAGAGTCGAAGGGCTTGCCCACCTCGGGATCCCCCTGGCTGGATCCCCCTAGCCTGGAGGATCCCACAGAACTGGCTGTTGCTATCTCTGTGGCGAGGCCGCCAATCTGATCAAGCTCAGTGGGCTGCTGATATCCAGAAAAGGAGTTGCAGTACGTGTTGTCATCAGGCGTATACCCTTGTGCAGATAGCCAATCATTGCACGATGTATAAACGCTCAATTGTGTACCAAGGGCCGAAATGCTTGGGTTCCATTCAGTTTGATCTGGTTGGTTGACCTTTAGCCTTGAGTCAGGTTCGATACCAGCTATGTACCAGTCTGCACAAGCGGGAGCAAATCTGAGATCCACATCAATGCGCTTGTGCGGAAAATTGTGACCCTCCTCCCGATTGATGAAGCTAATTTGCCTCCTTTCCGACCTGCGCTGTAGAACATAGTTCTGAAGTCGTATAGCGCGTAGCCATCCTATAAACTTATACTTTTCTCTTGAAGGGTAGAAAAAATTGACGGAATAGTCTGGGAAATAGGTTGGTGTTTGCCTGGAGTCCTCAATCCGAACAGATATTCTTGCTTGCTCTTCCTCCAATAGTTTCCAGCGCTGGTGGACCAGCTGCGTATAGTCAAGGGATGTTGGTACCCATAAGTAGCATTGTCCATCTCTAGTCATACCAACTGCATAGACCATTGACATTCAGCATAGGATTGGCAATCGACGCGCATTATCTTCAACACGTACGAGGTCTCATCTCCAGGGCATAAGCGGTTCCTGATCTCAAACGAGCGCCTCGCTCCGCAAATTTCGTGTCCACATCATTTAAGGAGACTCCAGCTTCGGCAAGCATTGATTTCAGGGCAGATTTATCAAAGAAGCTAAGCTCACCAGTCTTTGCAAGAACCTGGGTCTTACACTCTGATGGCAGCAAAGAAGGAATTCCTCTGACCGTATAATGCAAAACGCTATCGCCTTTGTCGATTGACCGTGGAACACCTTGCCTCCAATCGAGCCAAGGATGTCTACAGCTTCTGTATCTCGACCGGCATTCTGCCATTTTGGCTATGATCCAAACCTGGAATACCTTTTCATGGATGGAAGAGTACCGGAATCGGGAGTACTTTGGAACATCCCATTCATCATCACTGTCTTCTCTCCAGAACCACAAGCGATGATAGCGAACCGAAGTGGTGTCGATTTCGCCAGTTGCCATAGTGGGCCAGTCCATGGGGGACCACTGAAACCATCGAGCCTTCTTATCTGTCAAGAGCAATATGAACAGCTGCATTTCGAGCAAAAATGGCATGGTGACATACCTTGTAGGCCCTGTGTAGGATTTGGTATATCAACTATCCAGCCCAGACCCAGATCTTCTGGTAGTATAGGCTTCCGTTCTGACATGGAGTTGAATCTGGTGTTCTGACGGCTTGTCCAGGATTGACAATGATTAAGGTTTCCCAGGCAACATAGGCTGTGGTTCGGGGGGGGGGGGATTGAGGTGGTTACATTTTATATACTAGGTCAATGTTATTGTAATTTTACTCGTTTCTCATCTTCATGAACATACATAAGAACAAAGGATCATCCAAGAAGCTGAATGCAAGCAGATAACGACGAGCCAGGTAGCTTCTCGGAACCTGACGACCCATACCTTTTCCAAGCGATCGGAGCCCTAAGAGCCTAGATTGTGCTTCCTCAAAAGCATTCCTTTCACCTGTTCTAGTGAGAGCCGTAATCCAAATCAGTGATGAAAGTGTAAATTATTATTGTGACATGAGCTTTCGGAAATCACGGCTGCACTTAGCTTACTTAATTGAGCGAAAGGAATCACATGACTGGCCAACTGGCCAATTAAATCTGAGATAGACATCATGACGAGGCAGACTTCGCTGTTTATCCCCCACATTTGGTCTCGATTTTCTTTGGATCATTGAACCCGCAGTCAAACTGCCATGTTCTTCAACACATGTATCTGATTCTGAGTCCAGTATTCTTCTACTGATCACTCCGATATTGTTTGCCTAAAAGTCCTGACGATATGCTTTGGGACAAGCTCAAGAGCCATAGTAGCAGTCGAAGTTTGTGTCGTGTCTCACAGACCCAGCAGCATTGACTGATCAATCGATGTTTGTGCATGGCCGTCGTTCTTCGATGTTATGTTTCGCGACCGCAATCGGCGAATTTCGATCGAGATTTGACCCCCTGTAGGAGTGAGTATGTGTGTCGCAATCGACCAATTCATGATAATGATTACAAAACTAACATCAACCACAGTTCGAAGTGGCACAACAGAGAATCGCCTAGCCGTCTCTATAGCTTGCTAGTCACTCCCCGTCCATGTTAGCGTTTCAAGTTGTGTGCTGTGCTGCATACGATGCTTGCTCCGCTACACATCTGGTCATTCGACAATCCGTCTGACGAACCTGCGACGAGGTCGCCTGTCCGGCCTCTGGCAGATGGATATAGCAGACCAATCGTCGGTGCAGCGCTTTGAACCGCACTGGAAATTCGGGTTCGGAGCGGTCGCATCATGCATCACCATGACATTTATCGGGCAGACGGAGCCTTCCTGGCGAGATGATGGGTCAGGTATACCTCAGGAAGCTACAACAGTCCAGGAGCAGAAGTCTTTCATCTATCGCTGATTATTGCAGATTGGCTGCCAGCATTCACTCATGTAGCCGTGAGAGGGCCGATGACTGGGACTCCCGAACGCGAAGAGGTTGGGCGGAGGCAGTGTGCTAGAATGAACTGGGTGCAGCGATCGCCTCTGACCGGTTCAATAAGGTAGACGCCACCATCCACCCGCGCTGACCGGTGCTCTACATCGATTTGGGCCTGGAATCGGTCCAACAACACGATCAAGTAGTACCAGAAACCATACGACCGCCCTCATATCGTGCGAGAAGGGTTGCTGAGAGTCCGATAGTAGGCCCGCCATCTCGTTAGGCTAACCATAGAGCTCGCCAAGGTGATTTCGCCGATGCGCAGGTGGGGATGCAATGGTGGTGCCGTGACAGCGTGACTGATAGCATCGCTAAGTAAATATACGAATCGTTACTCTTTCAGGTACTACGCAACAGCAGTGTGATGGTGAGACGCGGCGTCCGTCGGCTCACAAGCCTCTGGGCTGCCTTCGCTGTATTATATCTGTAGAAGTACCATTTATCAATCACTCAACTTTGGGCAAATCGAAATTATGGGAAAAAAAAGAATATATGCAGTCGCACTGTCCTAGTACAACATTGAGCACTATATTTCGCAAGACAAGCCTAAGGTGGAGAATTCACGTGGCAATGAAGCGGGTGCGGAGCTTGGTCGACTAGGGAGTCCATTGTGAGTCCCGTCAATCTTGGGATTGCATTCACTGGACTCTCC